AGCCACGTACACGTGCCACTTCCTGCTTCCCAGCACGTCTCCCATGACATGCGCGCGGCGGTGCTTCAGTCCGCCGAAGTAACCGTCGAGCACCGCAACCTCCTCGTCGAAGCTCCTGTGCGGGGACGGCTGCGCCTTCGGGAACAGGAACGTCCCTCGGGAGTATCGGCAGCGAGCGGGCTCGAGCCCGGCCTGGTCAGCAATCTTCAGGAGCTTCGGGATAGCGTTGAGAAGGCGGGTGGTCCCGCAGGTCTTGATAACAGCGCGAGTCGGGAAGATGAAGAGGCTCGACTCGGAGAGGACGTACGCATCCAACTGCTCGTTGGACATCTTCGATACAATGGTGCACTGAGCGTCGTCGAGCATGGCATCCAGAGCCGCGCGAGAGGCGGAACGCAGACCCTTGCACTTGAGCTCAGGCAGAATGGCCTTCTTCCAGGTGAACTCCACGTCGAGGCGTTTCTCGAAACCCTCGAACGCCGGACACGGGAGGCTAAGTGGGGACTCCATGACAAGCAGCAGAGCAGCGTTAGCGGTAGAGAGAGGAGAGACGCAGAAGAGTGCGAGAGAAGAGAAGTACCGACGGTACTGTCAGATGTGACGAATGTCACAGTGAGAGCAAAGAGGGACCTTCTAAACGATGGCACTACCGCGACCTACGCTGCTCAGCAGTGCAGAAGCCCCCGATAACCCGTGTCCAAGTATCTACCAACCCCCGAGTCCGTTTTCCCCCGAGTCCTAAAACCTCCCGTGTTTGTTACGACGCGAATCTTGGTGAGTGGTCAGCGATATATCTAGTAGGGTACATCAGGAGGGCCTGCGCACGCACTGCACACAAGCGATAAAACAACGGCATAGTTAGAAACAGCATGATGACAAACCAAGGCATGAGGGGTCCTGCAAGATCCAAACCAAAAAAAAAAAAAAAAAAAAAAAGTTTCGACGTACGTTAGAGTAAGCAGCAGAGCGGAACATGTCAATGCCTCCCCAGGGGCGAACGTCCTCGATGGTGTAGGTAAGGGGTTGCTCGTAAGCCGTGGCGATAGCGAGGAGGGAGGAGAGATTAGAGGTAGACGAGTTGTATTTAGACGATGATGTACTGCGATTACTTAAATTTTTAGAATCCATTATAAGGTCATCGACGCCTGCACAAAGCAACAGACCATGGGACAGATTAGCTTAACTGGTGCTTCGGTAACACAAATCCAGCTTTAACAGATTGCCACAAAAAATGCCACTCACTGTTAATGGGGGAGACTGGTGTGAGCCGCCGAACACGACTAGAAGGAAGCTAGCAGGAGTCCACAGCAAAAGTGCTAAAATGCGAGAAGACGGAAGCACTGTGAACAAGAGAGCTGGAGGAGATTCTGAAGGCAAGAGAAAGCAAAAACCCTTATACCAGTGTTCAGGCGGCTAGGAAAGGAAAGGAAGAATCTGGGATGGCTAAATAGGCTGAGGAAGTGGGTGAGTTGAGATGGTCGCCCTCAAGAAACGGAGATTCAGAGAGCTGGGCTGGGAGAGAGGCCAGCCGAAGGTGACATGATTCAATTGGTTGGTTGCACTCGGTATCGAGCGGTTTATTTCTCCTTCATTCAACAAGCAAAATTTCCCTTCTCCCCTCTCGTCCCCGTGCCCAATCACATCACCTCAATTCTCATCAACCTTCCAGAAAAACCCCCTCCTCCGACTTCGTTCTGCGCACCTGGCCGCCGAACCAAACGTTTGAGAGCTCGTCGCAAAGCTGTCAAAGTTGTAGGTCCGATATCCGTCCGATCTGTTTGCATCGGACGTGTTAGAACCATCTAATCGTTTGACTTTTGGCTCTAGTATGGTGCTCGACCATCTTGGCCGTTGAATGTATGAGAACCCGTCCTTAGATGTGACGGTTCGGTCGTATGGTGCACCACATTCCAAACCTGTCCCGGTTCGGACGATTCGGGGGACTGCCCGCTTGATTTCATTTTAGCAAAAACCATATCTAATTGCAGCCAGGTGTCGGCACCACCGCTCCTTAGCTGCCAGCAGGGAACGTGTTCGTGGAGGCCAACGAACCGGAGATTGCGTGCACCCAGGCCGCAAGGGCCGCTTTTCATTTCCAGCGCGTGCCCCAATGATGCATGTGCCAGCGCACGTCGGAGCTGTAAACCCATGCCATGGGTGCGTCGTCGTCGTCACCCAAACGAAAATTGGCTTCGTTACCAAACTACATCCCAACCATAGAAATTGCCTGGCTATCAGTTGTGTGGCTCGTGGGTCTTCCACAGCTCTATTGTTTGAACGAACTCAAAACCCTGTCCGACCAAAAACATGAGACTACCTTGTGGCCTGCAAAATAGCCCATATGTTTCGGGATAACCTAAGCTGACAGCCTAAACCTGGGGGGGGAAATGAACCTGCTGTCGGAGCCTCGGCACACTTCGCTGTGATGTGGAGTGGGGGCGTCCACGTCGAGAAAACGAAGATGCACGGTCCCACCACAACCCGAAGGGCCGTCAGCCACTCACCTCCCCGCTCCAGATGGGGTCAGAGGGGACGTGAGTCACGCAACGTGACAGCACGGGAAAATATACTGATACTCGGTAAACCCAGCCCCGTTGTCCCGCTTTGTTATGGGACGGATGCGAACGGTCGTAATGAAGGTTACAATTTACAACGTTTTCTCAAATGCACGAACAGCACGTGACAACTTCGAGATAATCCCACCAGTGGTCAGTGGAATGCACATGTACCTGTTACCCATAACCATGTTCTTGTGTTGCGGATGTGTTGATTGTCACATTGTGCACCACAACACCCAACAGTTTGTGCGTGAATAAAAATGGGGACTTCTGAGCTGCAGTTCCCCAATGCATGTGGACATTGCGTTGAGAAGTGCAATCCATGAAGAAGCAGCCTGTTTGAAACAAGAAGAGCAGCCAGCAACAGGGGCTAAATGTACAGGCGGCCGCAGAGCACCTTGACTCGGAAGTTTTGATGGTTACACATACGGCATCATCGTATAACTCCTGTGTAGCTTGTATGGTATCTTATTGTACATTACACCCATGGTAATGGTTAGCACACCCAGCCTTGCTACACGACGCGAGTCCATTTATGGACCTAGTAGAGGTGCCATGCACCTAGTAGCTGTAGGTCGGCCTTCTGGGGCGGCACTGCCAGGAGCAGTCATGGCGGTGGTTGTGGTTGGAGCAGCTGAAGCAACCCTGCAGCAGCTGAAGCAACTCTAAAGCAGCAGTTACGGCTATGGCTGTAGCTGCAGCAGTAACGGCAATACAGCGCCTCCACAGCAGTGGCAGGTGAATCTGGAGTGGCACTGGCAGGAGCAATCATGCCTACTATAGTTGTAGCTGCAGCAACACTGCGTCTGCTCATTGCTATGATGCTATGGTACGGGACCGCCCGCTTGACAGTTATGCTGCTATGATGCAGGTGATGGGATTGTTGAGGCGCCTAAAATTTCATTGCTATGATGCTATGATATGGGACCGTACTCTTGATCTCTATGTTGCTATGATGCAGGTGATCGGATTGGGGATGGGCTGGTAATGGGGTTGGGGATGGCGCTGCTCCTCGCTCTTGTGCGGATGGTGCTGATGGTGCTAATGATGGTGCTAATTATGGTGATAAAGGTGCTAATGATTGTGCTAATGCCGGTGCTACTGATGGTGCTAATGACGGTGCTGATGATGGTGCTAATGATGGTTCTAATAATGGTGCTGATGGTGAGAATGATGGCGATAATGCTGGTGGTGACGACGCTGGTGATGCCGAAGACGATGCTCATGGTGATGATGCTTTAGATGTTGTCGCCTTTAAAGTTGCCGCCTTTGATGAGACGCGGCGACGCCGGGCCCTGCCCTGCCCTGTAAGGCAAGACTCGATTCTAAATCGGCGCCCCATCTGCCTGCCGCCTGCCTCCATCGATGAGACGCGGAGCCGCCGGCCCCTGGCCTGCTCTGTTTTGAGATGTCTCAAAAGACGCCGGCCCCTGGCCTGCTCTGTAAGTCAAAACTCGCGTCACCATCGGCGCCCGCCGCCTGCTGGCCGCAGTGGTGGTGGTGACGGTGACGGTCGCGGTTACCAGCCCTGCTGCCGCTGGTGTTGGTGCTCGGGGAGGCGGAGCGCGGGAAACCTGCGTGGCAGGGCGAGGTGAGGCCGAGATCTGGCGAAGCGAGACGCGCCCGCGAGAGGATCCGAGTCGTGGCGGGGCCGCGATGGTGCGCGCGACGAGGCCTTCAACGGTCGCGACTCTGCAGAGGAGGACGCGTGGGTGCGAGACGGGTGTGGGAGGTGGCAGGCCTGCAAGGCGGGCAAGCGCGCTGTTATCCTTTCAGGGGAAAACGACTCTGTTTACAATGGCGTGAGTTGGGCGAAACTGAGAGCGTAGCCTGAGCCAAGGCGTTTGGCGTGTGCGCGTATAAACAACGTGACCGTGTGCTAGGACAGCTGCGTCGAAAAATCTCTCTTATCGCGCCGCCGGTTTTGCGAGTTTAAAGCCCGAGGTCAGCATGGTTATTGCCAAAAAAAACTGAAGGACCGGGGTGCACATTCAGCTGAATGTGCATCAAAGGTTATCCCTTGACTGAGTGGGTTACGAGGTGTGCTTTCAACCCTTTCAAGTCGAAATTCGTTTCCCCCCTCCCCCGCAATTTCGTTTCCCCTCGCCCCCGCAATTTCATTTCCCCCTCCCCGTCGAAATTCGTTTCCCCCCTCCCCCGCAATTTTGTTTCCCCCCTCCCCCGCAATTTCGTTTCCCCCCCCTCCCGCCAATCTGTTTCATCCCTCCCGCCATTCGGTTTCACCCACTCCCGCCATTTCACCCCCTCCCGCCACCTACGAAATGCCCGAAGCTCTAGCGGAATCATTTTTTTGTCGCCCCTCGTGAGCCAATCACTGTTTTTCTCCAAACCCCCTTCCCAACATCTCAAGCCGAACCGCGTTGAATGTGCACCCTGGTTTTAATCGTGTTGGCGAAAGTCAAAAAAGTTCATTTCGGGAATATGGGTGGGGCGAAAGTGAGATCATTCAATGAGGAGATTGTGTAGTCGTCACTCAACATCGGTTGGAGTGTGCGACAACCAACCCAACTGAGCGTGAAAAAACCACCCAAGTGTGAGCTATTCTTGAGTTAGTAATAATTAACAAGAAAACTCCTTCCCTTCCCTCATTTAGCTCCTCCTCTCGCCGCGCTTCCCATTTCCGCATTCCCCCGCCCATCGTCGCGCCACCCGCTGTCGCGCCAACGATCCTTTCGTCGCGCATCCTCTCGTGCCTCGCCTCCCATCGTCGCGCCTCCTCGCCGCGCCTCCCGTCGTCACGCCTCCCGTCGTTTCTGGGAGCCTCCGCTTGTCGCGCCTCCGCTCGCCTCGTCGCCCCTCCGCTCGCCTCGTCGCGCCTCCGCTCGCCTCGCCGCGCCTCCGCTCTCCTCGCCGCGCCTGCGCTCGCCTCCGCGCGCCTCCTCTCGCCTCGTCGCGCCTCTGCTCGCCTCGTCGCGCTTCCGCTCGCCTCACCGCGCCTCCGCTCGCCTCGCCGCGCCTCCCTGCCATCAGCGCGCCAACACCCTCATTTCCTCCCCCCCTTCCCCTCATTTCCCCCGCTCCTTCCCCTCATTTCTCTCCCTGCTTCCCTTCATTTCCCTCCCTGCATCTCCTCATTTCCCTTCCTGCTTCTCCTCATTTCCCTCCCTGCTTCCCCTCGTTTCCCCCCCTGCTTCCCCTCATTTCCCCCATTGATTCCCCTCATTTCCCCCGTTGATTCCCCTCATTTCCCTTCTTGATTCCCCTCATTTCCCTCCCTGCTCCTCCTCAGTTCCCCCCTTGATTCCCCTGGTTTCTCTCCCTGCTTCCCCTCATTTCCCTCCCTGCTTCCCCTCATTTCCCCCCTTGATTCTCCTCATTTCCCTCCCTGCTTCTCCTCATTTCCCCCCTTGATTCCCCTCTTTTCTCTCCTTGCTTCCCCTCATTTCCCACCCTGGTTCCCCTCATTTCCCCCCTTGATTCTCCTCGTTTCCCTCCCTGCTTCTCCTCATTTCCCCCCTTGATTCCCCTCATTTCCCTTCTTGCTTCTCCTCCCCCCTGCTTCCCCTCATATCCACCCCTGCTTCTCCTCAATTCCCCCTCTGTTTCCCCACGTTCCCCCCTTTGCTTCCCCTCATTCCCCCCTTTGATTTCTCTCGTTTTCCCTCCTCCTTCCCCTCATTTGCCTCGCTGGTTCCCCTCATTTACCCTCCATGATTCACCTCATTTCCCTCCCTATTTTCCTGTTTGTACCCTCCTGCTTCTCCTCATTTCCCTCCGTTGCTTCTCCTCATTTCCCTCCGTTGCTTCTCCTCATTTCCCAGGAATTCCCCCTCTGTTTCCGCTCGTTTCCCCACCTGCTAAACCTTCGTTTCCCCCTCTTCCTTCCCTCGTTTCATCTTCCAATTTCCCCCGTTCCCTCTTTCCCTTTGTCCCTATCCTCCCTCTTCCTAAGGTATTTCCTTCTTTCCCTCTCACCCTCTTCCTTTCACCTCCTTGCTCTTCCCCCCTGTTTCCCTCTTCCCCCTCTCCCCTATCTCCCCTATCTCCGCACTTCTCATCTCTCTGTTTGACCTTTTTCCTTGTTCCCCCTCACCATCCCTCGTAATCTCTCTCTCTACCTGGCTATTGCAGTGACTACACTGAAGCTTTTTCTGGTACCGGTACTTCAACTCGCCTCAGCCCATCTTCCATGCCATGCTCTTAGCGTAACCTGTTCCCCTCATGGTTTTTTCAAGGCCTTGAGAAAGGTTCAGTTGTACGGTATTGTTCATGGTTTTTCTCTTAGTGTCCATGCATCTTGGAAAAATATATTGCACTGCAAAAATAAAAGTACATGGAGAGCCTTTGCGATGCATATCGCCAACAGTAATACAGTATCATGCTTGCATACAACACACAAGAAACAGGTGGTAAGGCAATGAAAAGCATTGACTGGCTGCGCCTCAACTTGCAACTGATGCTCCTTTGCCTCACCACTGAGAGAGGGGAGAAAGAAAGAAAGAATTGCGTGAAGAAACATGGGGGAGGTGGTGTGAGGTGCAACGGAACAATGGCAGGGGAATACAAGCAAGCGCACATGATGAAAGCATGAATGGGGAAATAGAGATGGGTGCACATGCATGGGAAGTAGAGGGCAGAAGGTGAGGAGTGAGGGGGAAGGGGAGGGCATGAAAAGGAGTTGATCGGGAAGGGAAGGCTTGAGAAGGGAAGGGGACATGGGGAAGTAGGGAAGGGGATGGGGGGAAGCAGGGAAGGGGATGGTGGGAAGCAGGGAAGGGGATGGGGGGAAGTAGGGAAGGGGATGGGGGGAAGCAGGGAAGGGAACATGGGAAAGCAGGGAAGGGGACGGGGGGAAGCAGGGAATGGGATGGGGGAAAGCAGGGAAGGGGATGGGGGGAAGCAGGGAAGGGGACATGGGAAAGCAGGGAAGGGGACGGGGGGAAGCAGGGAATGGGATGGGGGGAAGCAGGGAAGGGGATGGGGGGAAGCAGGGAAGGGGATGGGGGGAAGCAGGGAAGGGGATGGGGGGAAGCAGGGAAGGGGATGGGGGGAAGCAGGGAAGGGGATGGGGGGAAGCAGGGGAAGGGGATGGGGGGAAGCAGGGAATGGGATGGGGGGAAGCAGGGAAGGGGATGGGGGGAAGCAGGGAATGGGATGGGGGGAATCAGGGAAGGGGATGGGGGGAAGCAGGGAAAGGGATGGGGGGAAGCAGGGAAGGGGACATGGGGAAGTAGGGAAAGGGGATGGGGGGAAGCAGGGAAGGGGATGGGGGGAAGCAGGGAAGGGGATGGGGGGAAGCAGGGAAAGGGACATGGGGAAGTAGGGAAGGGGATGGGGGGAAGCAGGGAAGGGGATGGGGGGAAGCAGGGAAGGGGACATGGGGAAGTAGGGAAGGGGATGGGGGGAAGCAGGGAAGGGGATGGGGGGAAGCAGGGAAGGGGATGGTGGGGAGCAGGGAAGGGGATGGTGGGGAGCAGGGAAGGGGATGGGGGGAAGCAGGGAAAGGGATGGGGAGAAAAAGGGTAGGGGATGGGGGGAAGCAGGGAAGGGGATGGGGGGAAGCAGGGAAGGGGATGGTGGGGAGCAGGGAAGAGGATGGTGGGGAGCAGGGAAGGGGATGGGGGGAAGCAGGGAAAGGGATGGGGAGAAAAAGGGTAGGGGATGGGGGGAAGCAGGGAAAGGGACATGGGGAAGTAGGGAAGGGGATGGGGGGTAGCAGGGAAGGGGATGGGGGGAAGCAGGGAAGGGGATGGGGGGAAGCAGGGAAAGGAACATGGGAAAGCAGGGAAAGGGAAAGGAAGGGTGTGTGCGGGTTGGAAAGGGGGCGTGACAAGTGTGGGAGTTGGGAAGGGAGAAGGGAGGGATGGCGACAGTAACGGGGATGCCAGGGCGACGAGGGGAGAGAGATACGGGGATTGAGAGGGGACGAGCGGGAGGGAGGGCGGCGAGCAGCAGGGAGCGCGACGAGACAAAGGGGGGCAACGGGCGGAAGGGAGCGCGACGAGGGGAAGGTAGGGCGGCGGGCGGTCGGGAGGACAATGAGAGGAAGGGAGGGCGACGAGACGAAGGGAGGGTGACGGGCGGAAGGGAGGGCGACGGGCGGAAGGGAGGGCGACGGGCGGAAGGGGATGCGACGAGCGCTAGGGAGTGCGACGGGCGGAAGGGAGGGCAACGTCGGAAGGGAGTGCGACGCGCGCTAGGGAGGGCGACGGGCATAAGGTAGGGCGACGGTTGAGGGGAGATCGATGGGCGTAAGGGAGTGCGACGAGCGGAAGGGAGTGCAGGCACGCGGAAGGGAGTGCAGGCACGCGGAAGGTAGTGCGACGGGCGGAAGCGGGTGCGTCGAGAAGTTGGCAAGCGTCTTGAAGACAGGCAAGCGCCCGTTCCTTGCGCTTCGCACGTAGATGTGAGCGCCCGCGTCCCTACAGAATTGGGCGTTTCACGTGACGTTTTTCTTTATGCTGGCTTTTTTTTATGGAGAACAACACATAGGCTGCTGCAAGGATACAGACAGCTCGCTGCCATTGTGAAAATTAGAGCTAACGCGCTCTTGTGGTCCTGAATAGCGGAGTAGACTACGTGTCTGTGCCTGAATATGGCTGCACGTTAGTACAACTTGGTTTTCAAGTTTACTGAATGTGAACAGTGCTCCATCTCCCGTGGACAATTCACTCCGAAGACTTGTTTTGTCGCTGGCCAATCATGCATCAGGGTTGCAAGACCTCTCCTCTGTGAAGCGACGGAATGCTTCACTTCGGGTGGTGACCTGGTTTTTGGCGAGTTCATATTCAAGAATCTTGAATTTGAAAACAGCCATGTGGAACTCGGGCTTTAAAGGTGTAGGAGCGGTTTGCAAGTTTAGACGTGTGGGATGCGCTATGCGAGTCTTGACGTGTGGCGTAAACTCGCGCGTTTTCGTGATTAGTATACTAGTCGGAATCTTCCAACAAACCCCTTCCTACAAGGAAATTTGAAATGCAAATCGGTGAAGGGTGAGGTAGATTGGTTGAGGAATGAAGCGGGTAACGAACGGGTAGCGAAAACAGTTTCCATTCAAACATAGCGAAAGTAACACATTCGCGAAGATTCTGAAGGCAAGAAGGCCAGCTATTCCGTGAACGCGACGGGTTCGTGTGATTGCTGAACCGCACTGTGGGGGCTAAACGAGATTACAGAAGCTCGCTTGCTGGTAACACGATTGGGGATTTAGAATGAAGATTTCGCCATTAGAGACGAACATGTACTTCACCCAAGCGAGGTCAAACGACGCTTTTCGCGGTGACGGGCTACGTCACATTTGGTTTCGCATCGCCTTAGAGTCGCATGTTTCGCAGGTAGGTGGCGATGAGATGATTCAACAGGAGACGAAAGTGTCGTTGCCATTCGTCTCTACAACAAACCACGGCACGCCGGGTTTAGCGGCAGGGCATTCTTGACTGTAGCAGCAAGCTTCAAGAGCAGCGGGGTGAGAGAGCAGCAGAGAAGAGAGCCGAGGGCAACGAGCAGAGAACAATCCAACAGCAGCAGCAAGCAATCACCATCGATCGTCGAGCCCTGAGGAGAGAGAGGATTTAGCAATGAGCTGACCGTCGAACCGACAGAAGGCCCCATCCCGTCCGTCACACGACCACAGCACATCCACGGGAGTTCGTTCATCCTAGCAGCCGCTCATTGGCCTCCCTGATAACATGGCATTGTCACAATGGCGACGTTATACGGTAGAAGAATACTTGAGATGATCGCGGCTCAATGCCTAGGCCTTCTCTTTGTTTGTCCCTATGAAGTCCCTGTCTCATCCGCTGCAGCGCGACTCGCGCTGACACGACATCCGTGGCTCGCGCCAGGGCACGGGCCGGCAGGCCGCCAGCTGCTTCAGCCGGCGCGGCTGGTTGTGCGAATCCCACGTCAGACAAGCCTCGCATTCTGGTAAATTTCCTACGCCCTCCCCCGAATTAAGCAGATTCGTCTTCCTGGCTCCCTGCTGTTCCTACAAAGACATGTTCACCCACTTGCAGCGCTAGCTCGGAGCTCCTCGAACCTGCGCGTCGAGGAGGGCTCGAGCGCGCTCGCTGCAGGTACTCCCGAGGAACGGGACGTTCCTGTTCCCTGAGGCGAGGCGCGGCGCGGCGCGTTCCTTATTCATCCTAAAACCTGGCAAGCTTTCGACGTAGGACACTGACAAAAGGAACGAGGAGGTTGGCGGTGGTAGATTCGACCGTCGCAATTGCCAGCACCGGCGCCGCGCGCGGGCTGAAGCACCAACGCGCGAAAATGATCATAAGCGACGTTATTGGACGGAAGCGGGACGTGAACGCGGCAGGGGAGATTCTTTCTACAATGATTTATGCTGAGTCAGCAGATTCCCTCGCCGCCTCCCACGGCGCCTCTCTCGGCGCCTCCCTCGCTTCCCTCGACTCGCCCAACGACGTCACTCTCCAGGAAGGGCCCACCGACTTGGAGGAGAAGACTTCGACGCTTGCTATTTCTGCTGCTGTCTCGGCCGCCGTCACCGAGACGCAGGAGCTTTACGGGGCCGCGGCTGCTGCCGTCGTTGCAGATCTCGCGCCGTCCCTCGTCAGCGCCGCGTCTCCCGCCGCGATCGACGCTCACATCCGCGCGCGCGTGACCGGCGGCCTCGACTCCGCCTTCTACGTCATGGACGCCGGCGTCGCGCTGCAGCTGCACGCCACGTGGACACAGCTGCTGCCACGTGTGCACCCCTTCTACGCCGTCAAGTGCAATCCCGACCCGGCGCTCCTCTCCCTGCTCGCGTCCGTCGGCGCAGGTTTCGACGTGGCCAGCAAAGCCGAGATGGAAATGGTCGCCGCGGCGTGCGGCGGGTCCCTCCCGGACCCGTCGCGCATCATCTACGCCAACCCCTGCAAGCTCCCCGCACACATCCGCTTCGCGGCGGCGTCCGGCGTGAACATGACGACGTTCGACTCGGTCACGGAGCTGCAGAAGCTGCGCCGCTGGAACCCGTCCGCGCAGGCGGTGCTGCGCGTGCGCGTGGACGACCCGGGCGCGCGCTGCCCCATGGGGGTGAAGTACGGCGCGGAGGCGGAGGAGTGCCCGGAGCTGCTGGCGGCGGCGCAGGAGCTCGGCGTGGAGGTGGTGGGCGTGGCGTTCCACGTGGGCAGCGGAGCCAAGGACGCGCGGATTCTCGGAGACGCGATCATGCTCGCGAGAGACATCTTCAACGTGGCGGAGCAGCTGGGCATGACGCCGCTGTCGCTGCTGGATATCGGAGGAGGGTTCACGTACGACGGGCTGCAGGATGATGACTACGCGAGCGCCGGTGGTGGAGCGGAGGGCGCTGAGGATGGTGGTGCTGATGGGGAGATGTCGTTCCTGAAGGCGTGCTACTCCGTGAACGTCGCTCTCGCAAAGTACTTTCCTGAAGAGATGGGCGTGCGTGTGATCGCCGAACCTGGGCGCTTCTTCGCGGAAGCTCCCTTCACGCTGGCTACTAAGGTGTTTGGCGTGCGCTCGCGAAGGACCACGGCCAGCAAGGCTGCTGCGCTCGCCGCTCTCACCGAGCACGCGTCGAGCTCATCTGGAAACGCGTCGGCTGGTGAATGCGCAGTGATGGAGTACTGGATCGACGATGGCATCTACGGGTCCATGAACTGCCTGCTGTACGACCATGCGGTTATCTCCGCTCGCCCTGTCAAGATGGCTGCTGAGGGACAAGACGCGGCGGAGGAGGGGCAGCTGTGCCGGTCGACGGTGTTTGGGCCGACGTGTGATGGCTTGGACACGATTCTGAGGGATGTGTGGCTTCCGCGCCTCGACCTGGATGACTGGCTGGTGAGTTGAAGGGAAAATTCTTTTGTACTATGGACTTCTCCTGGGCTGAATGTTTCTTGGAGAATGGCTGCATTATGGGATCGGGGTTCCGTCATTATGCCATGGGTTCTTTCGTGTGTGTTGCTTTCCGCTTCTTACTTGGTTGAATCTGTCCCGTTTTTTCCTTACCAGGTGTTTCCGAAGATGGGTGCGTACACCCAAGCAGCTGGGTCCAGCTTCAATGGCTTCGTCACGTCTGACATCGGAATTGTCCGGGTCTTCTCCTCCGCCTTCCCAAACGGCCTTGCTGAAGCCGCTGCATACCTGCACGACCGCGTGGCTGATGCCCTGTCTTTCTCTGACAGCGATGTTTTATCAGAGTAAATTTTTCCTTTTCTGTTTTTTTCTACAAATCAGAACGGTTTATGTCAACTCTGATGCCCCAGGTTTTTCTGAAGTATCAAGTTTGTTCCTGGTTTAGGGTATGGCGTTCTCGCATATTTCAGACCCAATCCCCGCCAAACACCAACAGCTGAGATTTCAAGGGGAGCGAGCTTCAATATCCACCGGGTTCTTCTCTGGTTGTGTTCGGACCGCGGCAAGAGTCCCTCGTTTTATTTGCGCTTCGGAATGTTTTGTCAGTGAAGTTTACGCTTCGTAAAAATTGCTAGACTCTGTAGATAATAAATCTAGTAACGTAGCTTTTTAACAGAAATGTCTATATTCAAGTTTTACTAGTATGCAGGTGTTTATTACATTAGGTCATTCACATGTTCACGCCAGGTCTTTCAGCCATGCATCAACAATGGAGTACTTCATTGACAATGGCATCTAGTGGTCAATGAATTGCCTGCTGTATGACCATAGCATCATCATTTCCGCTCGTCCTGACAAGGTGGATGCCATCTAGCATTGATGAAAAGAATGGGACAGCTGTGGCGCTGAGAAGGGGGTTCTCCTTGTGCCACGGAGTCGGTTTTTACCACCAGAGGACAAGCAATAGTGGGTCGTCCCATTGAAAAACAGTTGGCAAATCTCATAACGTCATGTGTATATACCGGTATATACGAGCAGGGTTTGCTTACTTGATGTGATATGTTTTTGTGGACCTGATGGAAGACATGGTGCTACACTGCACAATAGTTGGCAATTCACTGGAAAAAAAAAACTGCTATGGGTGGAAACTCTGATACGGTATGATTTTCATACTTTGTTGACTGGTGCTACACTGTGCAATAAAGCTGTTGGTATAAGGGCAGTCCCTGATTCAGGTCTTGGTGTGAGCAGCTATGGTACGAACAGCAATCCTGGGAACAGCAGTCCACTGGAAAACTGAGGAGAAGGAACAAGCAGTGAGACTTCCCCAAGCCTCGTCAGCTTTTGGAGTGAGAAGCCATGGCACGGACAGCAATCCTGGTAGCAGCAGCCCACTGGAAAACCGAGGAGAAGGAGGAGCAAGCAGCAGCGGGCTTGGCGCAATTCAACTGACAGGAGATCGAGTGAGAAGGAACTCGACAGGTGCGCGCGGGCAGATTGATTTTGGCAGGAGGAGGGTTGTGGACCGGCGATGTTGATGAGGATGATGCTACACTGATGCACATGTTATAAGCTCCTTCGTTATTCGTAACAGAAGCAGAAAACGGCGCTGCAGAAAAAGGTCGAGGTGGGGAAGGGCCCACTTGAGAGGGACTCCCGGGGTGTGACCTGGCAGGAGCAGTGGAAACCGCCGACACAGCAGCTGCAGCAGCTGGAGCAGGCGAAACAGGTGCATCTGGGGGAGGGTGAACATGCGTTTCATCCAACAGCCTGGTTGGGAAGCTGTGGGACCTTCTTCGGGGGCGGTACTGGCACTGGCACTGGCATGGGCACTGGTACTGGCACGGGCCAGAATGTTGATGGTTGTGGTCGCAGCAGCTGCGGCAACACTGCGCCTCCTCACTGATATGATGGCAATGATGGGATTGGTGCTGGTGCTGCAGCTGGTGCTGCTGCCGTTGACGGTGCTGATGCTGATGCTGATGCAGGTGCTGGTGCTGGTGCTGTTGCTGATGTTGATGCTGGTGCTGGTGCGGCCATTGATGACCGTCACATGAGAGTGAGCCTCGCATGCAGCCATGAGTCCATGCATGCAGCTCAGCTTGAGCTGATAGGCCCCCTCCCATAATGCCACCTGGGACTCCCCTCAGTTTTTCCCCCCTCCCATCATACATCTGGCAACCAGAAGGGGAGTAAGGAGAGGGGGAGTGCGGGGACGGGGAGTAAGAAGGGGAGCGGTACAGGGAAGGGGAGGAGGAGAGGGAGGAGGAGGAGGCGGCGCGTCTTGCCGCCGGCCGCGCGCCGGCGGTTGCTCGATTCCACATGGCCAGCCGAACCTCCAGGTTCGCAAACCGCTGCTGCTGCGAACAGGTTCGGCCGGCGAGGCTCGGGCTCGGTGGCTCCTCAGTCGGACGACGGATGCCGCCACTGGCCGCGCTTCCAACGTTGCTGAGACTTGGAAACACCGCCGGCCCTGGCCTGCCGGGTAAGTCAAAACTCGGTTCGCCACTGCCGCCATCGCCGGCGCCGGTGGTGCTGGTGGTAACGGTCACTGTTACCAGGTCCGGGAATAAGGTAGTGGTAGTGATCTCACGCGGCTGCTGCTCGTGCAGGGGTTGGTGGTGAAGTTTGCTCGCCCCGATTCCCTGCGACATGGTGTGAATATGGTTGTTGGCGTCAACACGGCTCCTGCTCCTGCTGCTGCTAGTGGTGCTGGGCTTGGGCCTATGTGTCATCCGAACGGTAAGGGCCAGACTTGGTGACCAGATCAGACCGGCCTGCTTAGGTTGCTGGTCCAGAGCTTGGGCACGTGAACGTGATTCAGGGTCGCAGAGACAGCAGCCGAAAGAATCAGAAATAAGGAGACTTCAAGAAGGAGAAACGGTGCTGGAGATGGTATTAATATTAGTAATAGTAGTAGTCATGGATAAGGTATCAGCGGAGTGAGGATCGTCGGCAGTGGCAGTCCGAGTTGGTGCTATCTCGTCTTACACTGAGGGAAGGAGGGTGGTAAATTCCGTGTCTCGCGATGATGGAACGAAACTGAGGGAACCCTGGCGATGCTAGTTATACCGCAGTGACTGCGTTATTGAAGGAAGAGTTAGGTGTCATGGTGACGGATTTTAGGTTGGAAGGATAAGGAAAGGGGGGAAGTGGGGGGGAGCGGGGAGGGAGGGGGGAAGGGGAGAGAAAATGACTCATCCCTTGGGAGTATTTCCCCGCAGAATCAGGAGGAAAGTGCAGAAAGACCAATCAGATGGCTTGGAAAGGAGGGGATGGGAACGAAGAACCCGCAGAAATGCCGCGAGCGGAGTCGCGGGGAAGCCCGCGTCTAACCGGATTCGTTAGGACTTGATTGATTGGAGTAGTCTACAGTACTCGACAGACGGCGATGCCAGACGAATGCGGTGTGTGGAATGAGGATCGAAAGGCGACAAAACAGGAGAGTGAACAAAGAGGGCGGAGGGTGGGGGGCGACGTCGCTCCCAACGGTTGCGGGGGAGGTGGGTTATTAATCGTGATTGGTGAGTGTGATGGGAGAAGCCATGGCGAACAGAGGAGGCGAGTCGACATGGAGACTGACGACGGGAGGAGAGATGACAACGAAGAGGAGTGGGTTGACTGAGGGGGAGCCTTATGAAAGTGTTCATACCAATTTGCAATCAGGAGTGACGCTTTCCCGCGCACTATGCAGCATTTGGAATGGTCGATCTGTCGGTTAGCAAAGGTTTGGTGAGCACTACCAGAATCGAATCCTAGTAACTACGTTGCTTTATGCCAATGCGTTGGAACTAATTAACTGCAACACCACGTGGACCTAGAAGCCAGATCCAAAAAGAAAGTCCCGACATACAATAGTAGTGCTGCAATTCCCTAAAATCCGGTCTGAAGGTTGCCAAAAACATCACAGATAATCGACAAACGTACAACGTAATGTGACACACGACTTTTCAGCCGTATAAAAAGGTTTTGAGACTACACTACAAGCGCGTCCGTGGGAGGTACAGTAGGTGTAAAGAAACAGGGAGCGAGAAATACGAAGTGAAAGATGCAAGCTAGGTCGAGGCGGGGAACTGAAAAGAAGACAAAGCTGCAGAGCAGATCTCCAGAAGCACAAAAATGGCGGTGGAGTTGAATGTTGCGATGAGAAAAGAAAGAGAAAAGATTCCAGTACAGTACAGGTAGTTGTGCTGAATCCTGAGAAGCATCCCGGCAAGGTGACTGGCATGACATCCATTCATTCTCCAACTGAAGCCCCAGGATATCGCTGACAACACACTCGGTTGCAGTTTTCCATTTTCTGAGAGCCCATGCCTGAACCGGATTGGATGACAACGATGACTCCACCGTGAAACGAGTTTTTATCTGACCATTTCCCGAAGTCCTTGGCCAGAACTGGAAACTCATACTCTTTTCGAGACTATTCCTTCAAGGAGATTCCATCACAGACCGCCCTTGGGAGGGTGACTACCCTTTAACAGAACGGCTACCCTCGAGTTACAGTTTGACTGTAATCCCTCTGGCACGCTGGACATTCTGCCCTTGCCTGGTCGTGTCGTGTCATGTCGTGACTCGGGCTCAGAGGGGCCAAACGACGCCACTGGATCCAACAACTTTCGTGAGAATGTGCGAGCGTACGTGGACTCGTCACCTCCATTCGTTTCATGTTGTCTAGACCCCGTTTTTGAGGTGGCCTCAGGCTTGTCAAGTCAAGGGCATCGCTCATCCATACCTTTCAAGCGTAAATGTAAATTTGATGTCAGGTCTTGTAGGTCGACTGGGGGCATCTGACGTTGGACGAGGAGAATATCATGCGCAGGCTGTACGAGAACGAGACATCAATGACGTGGCGACCGGGTTTCAAAGCAATCTGGGAGGATGGCGGGGTGGCCTTTCAGCCTCCGTAGAGTGGATAGGGGGGGGTGATGTGTAACAATATCTTGCCCTCCTTGCATCAGTTACGACTGCGGATGTCTGTATACATGTAGTGTACTTATATCCACCAAAAAAAAAATGTAGGTCGAGTAATGTCCAGCACTGTACGAACAAATATGATTTGTTTTAACCTGACAATTTTACACGTTTAACCGAATCCATTCACAGTTCATTCTTGAAAATACCATGATACCATGCTTCCCAAGCATTTGAGTTATTCCGCCCTTTACCTATCAAGCCCAGTCACCACGTCAAGGCCTCGACACAATAAACACACCCGTCACAGAATATACTACCGGCTATTTCCCCCTCCCACCTGTCCCATATCGCCTCCCCAACCGTCTCATTGCCATCCAGTCCACCACCTTAACATCCCACCCACCCACCTCGTATGGCGCACTCTTTCCCACGCAACCAGTCATTCCCCTAGAACAACCACAGTCTGATTCCGCTTAGAATCAGAATATGTGAGGCACTTTCAAAGAAGGTAAGCTAAACTGGCTGACCCCACTCAAATTCTCTTCCTCCCTGTAAGCCCTAGTCCTCCTATCCTCCTCTCACCTCCCCCCTCCCCCTCCCCCCCTGTCAACCCTCTTCCTCCTATCCTCCACTTACCCCTCCTCCTCCTCCTCCTCCTCCTCCTCCTCCTCCTCCTCCTCCTCCTCCTCCTCCTCCTCCTCCTCCTCCTCCTCCTCCCCCCCGCCCCCCTCCTCTCCTTCCACCAGCCCATCAATCAAACCATCCACATCCTCCCCAAGTTCAACCAGCCTCCCCCTCAGCACCTCCACCTTCTTCTCCTGTTTTCCACCTCTCATCCCTCCTCCTCCTATCCTCCACTTACCCCTCCTCCTCCTCCTCCTCCTCCTCCTCCTCCTCCTCCTCCTCCTCCTCCTCCTCCTCCTCCTCCTCCTCCTCCTCCTCCTCCTCCTCCTCCTCCTCCTCCCCCCCGCCCCCATCCTCTCCTTCCACTAGCCCATCAATCAAACCATCCACATCCCCCCCAATTTCAGCCAGCCTTCCCCTCAACCCTCACAACACCTCCTCTCACCCCTCTTCCTCCTCCCCCGCCCCCTCCTCGCCCTCCACTATTCCATCCATCAAACCATCCACATCCTCCCCAAGTTCAACCAGCCTCCCTCTCAACACCTCCACCTTCTTCTCCTCCTGCCCCAAACACACCAGCAAGTCATTCAACTCCGTCTCACTCTCCCGCTGCGCCTCCTCCCGAGCCTCCTGCCGAGCCGCCTCCACCCGCTCCTCCACCTCAGCTTCGGGCACCCCCGAACCTGCTCCTGTCCCTGCAGCACCTCCCGAACCTGCAGCTGCGGCAGCAGCTTCGGCCGAAGCCAGGCTGGCTCGGAGGCTTTCTGTGGTGGATTGGAGGGATTTGACCTCCCCTTCTAGTCTGAGATTTTCCTGCTCTAGACTATGGTACGCCATTGAGAGAGCCTGCAGGTCTGCCTCTTTCCCTGCTGCCACTTGTCGCACCTGCAGGGAGCAGACACGGGAGAGGAAGGGAGGGAGCAGTGTTGAGGAGAAGGGTAATATCTCCCCTTAGTCTGAGATTCTCCTGCTCTAGACTGTGGTAGGCCATGGATAGAGCCTGCCGATCTGCCTCCTTGCCTGCTGCCACTTGCCGCACCTAATGGAGGGGAGAGATGAAGGAGGGCCGAGGGAAGAAGGGAAAAAGAGAAGGGGGAGAAGCAACGGTGGGAAACCAGGGGCGGGGAAGGAATGGGAAAGGGGTGGTTCAGTCCGTTGGAGTTCGGTTCGGACCTCCCCTTTTCGTCTGAGATTCTCCTGCTCTCGACTGTAGTTGGTCATGCCTGTATCGAGTGCATGTGTATGAACTGTGAATGTATCGAGCGCATGTGTATGAACTGTGAATGTATCGAGCGCATGTGTATGAACTGTGAATGTATCGAGCGCATGTGTATAAACTGTGACTGTATCAAGTGGATCCATATAAACTGTGACTGATCGACCGTATCTGTGGTATACACAAACTTATTACATCGACCACCATACCTGCATGAGCTCGCCCATAACGGTCTCCTGTTCCCCTCCTAAGCGTCGCCACACTCGCTTCCGCCTCCGCCAGCTGGCGCCTCCCCTCCAAGCATCTATATCAACTGTAACTGTTCAAGGGCAGCCATACAATACACACCACCATACCTGCATGAGCTCGCCCATAACGGTCTCCTGTTCCCCTCTCAGCGTCGCCACACTCGCTTCTGCCTCCGCCAGCTGGCGCCGGGCGGCTTCAAGTCCTGCCTGTGTCAAGTGTGCCGGCACTACACACCACCCTACCCACACAAACACACACATCATATCGACCACCATACCTGCATCAATTCGCGCATAAGAGTCTCCTGCTCCCCTCTCAGCGTCGCCACGCTCGCTTCCGCCTCCGCCAGCTGGCGCCGGGCGGCTTCCAGCTCAGCGTGGGTCGGCGCCGAGCCAGCGCCGCTCGCGCCGTCCGCTGACGTGGCGGCCTGTGATTGGTCGCTGGCGCCGGCACCAGAGGAGGGAGATTGTGGGGCGAGTTGCATGGCGTCTTTCGCAAGGGCCACGTTGCGACTGCGCAGGTGCTACAGGGGGAGGGGGGAAGGGGAGTTTGGTTGGCGTGTGTGGGGGGAAAGCGGGGAGTGTATGAGAAACAATGGATAAAGAGAGTTGAGATGCATTGCATCCTTTGCAAGTGCCACGTTGCGACTGCGCAGGTGCTGCGGTGGGGAAGTAACGGAGAGGGAGGTGCATGAGGAACAAGATGGGCAGAGAGGTAGTTACGTGGAGCTGCAGATGGGTTCGAGTGGCTACGAGAGGGGTGGGGTGCGGTGGAAAGGGGAACACTACCTGAAGCTCCTGATGCTGCGACTGAAGCATTGCTCTCAGCCTCCCGGCATACTCCCCCTCACTTTCCCCCTCCTTCCGATTCACATCCACGCTCCCCCCTCCCCCATCTCCCCCCTCCCCACCCCCGCCTCTCGGCATCGAAAACAGCTGCACCACTCTCAACCGCACTGCCTCTTCCAGCACCAGCACCGACCGCACAAACTCGCGGTCGTAGAACGAGGCAATGGGCGGCTCGAGATCCAGACTAGACGCACTAGAAACAGCCGGCACGCGGCTTGCTGCTGCCACAATCCCAGCAGAGGCAGAAGCAGAGCTACTGAAGCCAAGACCGCCTTCCTCTGAGATCTCACTGTGTTTGTTTCCGCTACTGCTGCCACCACCTCCCCCAGATCTACCTCCCCCTGCCCCTCCCGCTCCCCCTGCTCCCCCATCGCCCCCCGCTCCCCCTCCCCCTCCCCCAGCAGCTGCCTCCGCAGCAGCCGTGCTTCTCGTGAGGGGCTTCGGCGCCCGCGGCCCCGCTCCTCCTGCAAGGAAATACGGGTCTCGCTTCAAGTCCTCTATACGGGCGAAGAAAGCAGCAAGGCCGATGCGCTGGGTGATTATATCCACTACTGTTGCTGCGTCTGTGGGGCCTGTGTTGTCGTTGAATACCACGCATGCGCCTAGGACGAGAGAGGCTAGGCCTCCCACATGCACCGCCACACCTCCCGCTCCTCCTGCTCCTGCTGCTGTTGCTCCTGATGCTGCCTCGTCTGCCCCTCTCCCGTTCCCCTCTCCTCCGCCTCCTCCGCTTCGTTTCCTGTCACCCGCTGCGTCATACCCATCGGAATACCCATCCCCGTACCCTCCCGCGCCTGATCCCCCGTGATCCTCCCCGTCCTCTCCAGCGCCGCCACCTGGCAACGCGGCGGCGGCTGCTGCTGAGCTGGCGGCGCTGACGAGGCCCACGAGGAACGGCAGGTGGCCGGGCGGCGCGAGGAACGCGGCGACAGCTGGCGGGCAGTCGGAGAGCCACGTCAGCAGCAGGCGGAGCAGCACGGGTTGCAGCCAGACGGCCGACGGGGAGGAGGAGGAGGAGGAAGAGGAGGGGGAGGAGGAGAAGGAGGAAAACGACGAAGCGAACGAGGAGTAGAGGGAGTGAGAAGACGACGAATGGTGCTGGTGCGGGTGCGAGGAAGTGGGAAGGGGAGGAGAGGGAGGGGCGGCGGCGGCAGCGAGATAACGCATGATGCGCGGCATGAGGAGTTCGGGAGGGGCGAGTGCGGAGGTAGGGATCTGCAGGGGGATGCGCAGCACTCGCTCTTTTGCGGCTGAGTTGCCTGTGAGAAGGTGCGACAACACACTCGCCGCGCGGCAGCTCGCTTCTAAGGCTTGCTCGCTCTGCCCCGCTATCAATGCTCGCACCAGGATGCTGGTTGGGTGGGAGAGGGAGGAGGGAGGCACAAAGGGAGTTGGCGGTGAGGAGGTGCGACAACACACTCGCAGCACGGCAGCTCGCCTCCAAGGCTTGCTCGCTCTGCCCCGCTATGAGTGCTCGCACCAAGATGCTGGTATGGAAGGACGGGGGGAGGAAGAGGGTAGGAGAAGGGGAGAAGGGGAATCAGCACAAGTATGGCTGTGCAGTAAGGGAGGCACGTGGGGATCTGCAGGGGGATGCGCAGCACTCGCTCCTTGGCCGCGGAGTTCCCCGTGAGGAGGTGCGAGAGAATGCTGGCTGCTCTACAGCTTCCCTCCAAGGCTTGCTCGCTCTGCCCTGCTATGAGCGCCCGCACCAAGATGCTGGGAGGGGGAGGGAGAGAGTGGGGAAGAGGAAGGGACACAGGGAGTTGGCGGTGAGGAGGTGCGACAACACACTCGCTGCACGACAGCTCCCCTCTAGGGCTTGCTCGCTCTGCCCCGCTAGCAGTGCTAGCACCAAAGGGCTTTTTTTTTTTCCCAAACAGGCTTCCCCAAAGGTGACCTCAAAATTCTCCACGCATCACCACACCCACCCTCCGAAGGTACGGTTTACTGCACCATCACACTCACCCTCACCATGCTCCATACATCACCACACTCACCCTCACCATGCTCCATACATCACCACACTCACCCTCACCATGCTCCATACAGCACCACACTCACCCTCACCATGCTCCATTGCCCTTACCCGTCACCACACTCACCCTCCAAACGTCAGGTTTGCCGCATCATCAGCCGCATCAGGCCCCATTGCTCCTCCTCCTCCTCTCTTGCCTTTCCCTGTGACTCCTTGCGGCAGCGGTGTGATGGTGGATGCTAGCATGGTCTGCCCCTCGCTGTTGCCCTGCAGGAGGGGACGAAGGGGGGAGGAGGGGAGGAAAGTACGAGCACGTGTTTCGAAATGTGGTGTGGTAAACCTGTGACGCCTTGAGGCAGCGGTGTGATGGTGGACGCTAGCATGGTCTGCCCCTCACTGTTGCCCTGCAGGGGGGGGAAAGTGAAGGGGAGGTGGGAGAGAGAGCGGGAGGTTAGGTGTCACAGATGGGGGTGCTGGGATTACTTTTGAGAATTCTCCATGTTACTTCCCCCCCCCACGCACCTCACAGAAGCATCGGATGACATAGTCAGCAGCAGAGCTCTCCCTCATGGTGCTCGCTCTCAGTGCCACCCGCAGCACACAGTGCAACGCAGCCCCTCAAACCCTTCCCCCAAATCCTCTCTGAACGCACCTCACAGAAGCATCGGATGACATAGTCAGCAGCAGAGCTCTCCCTCATGGTGCTCGCTCGCTCTCAGAGCCACCCAACAGTCCCAACCCCGGTTAATACCTGCTCTCAACCCGCCTCTCCCTACACTCCCACCTCTCGAAATTCCCTCTCCCTCCACACGCACCTCACAGAAGCACCGAATGACATAGTCGGCAGCAGAGCTCTCCCTCATGGTGCTCGCTCTCAGAGCCACCCAGATGCACCCCCACCACCTCCCCAGCCAAGTTAGTAACCGCTCTCAACCCCTCTCCACTCCCCACACACGCACCTCACAGAAGCATCGAATCACATAGTCGGCAGCAGAGGAGCTCTCCCGCATGGTACTCGCTCTAAGTGCCACCCGCAACACACAGTGCAACGCCGGCTCCATCTCCTCCCCCACCCCCCTGCATGTCATCCCCTACTCACCCCCCTTGTTGGTACTGCCCACTCTGATTCTTCCCCTAAACCCTGAGAACTCTCTTTCCCTCCCCATCCCCTTCCCATTTTCCTTTGAATACCCCAATCCTCCTCCCCACACACGCACTCACCTCACAGAAGCACCGAATAACATAGTCGGCAGCAGAGCTCTCCCTCATGGTGCTCGCTCTCAGTGCCACCCGCAGCACACAGTGCAACGCAGCCCCTCAAACCCTTCCCCCAAATCCTCTCTGAACGCACCTCACAGAAGCATCGGATGACATAGTCAGCAGCAGAGCTCTCCCTCATGGTGCTCGCTCGCTCTCAGAGCCACCCAACGGTCCCAACCCCGGTTAATACCTGCTCTCAACCCGCCTCTCCCTACACTCCCACCTCTCGAAATTCCCTCTCCCTCCACACGCACCTCACAGAAGCATTGAATGACATAGTCGGCAGCAGAGCTCTCCCTCATGGTGCTCGCTCTCAGAGCCACCCAGATGCACCCCCACCACCTCCCCAGCCAAGTTAGTAACCGCTCTCAACCCCTCTCCACTCCCCACACACGCACCTCACAGAAGCATCGAATCACATAGTCGGCAGCAGAGGAGCTCTCCCGCATGGTACTCGCTCTAAGTGCCACCCGCAACACACAGTGCAACGCCGGCTCCATCTCCTCCCCCACCCCCCTGCATGTCATCCCCTACTCACCCCCCTTGTTGGTACTGCCCACTCTGATTCTTCCCCTAAACCCTGAGAACTCTCTTTCCCTCCCCATCCCCTTCCCATTTTCCTTTGAATACCCCAATCCTCCTCCCCACACACGCACTCACCTCACAGAAGCACCGAATAACATAGTCGGCAGCAGAGCTCTCTCTCATGGTACTCGCTCTCAGTGCCACCCGCAGCACACAGTGCAGCGCCGGCTCCATCTCCTCCCCCACCCCTCTCAACAACCCCTCCTCCTCCTCCTCCCCTTCCTCCTCCTCTCCCCATCCACCCTCCCCTCCTCCTCCCCCTCCCCTCCTCCCTCTCTTCAACCCCCACCCAGCATCCCGATACAGGTAAGTAGTCGGATCAGACCTGCTAATCAGCTTACTACCTAGCTCCTCCCGATTCGCAGCATGCCCCAGCACCAGCCCTCCCAACGCCTTAAGCGCCTGCGTGCGAATCGCAGTAGAGTTTACTAGTGGGTCGAAAGCTAGAGCTAACAGAGAATCCATCAGCTTTGCATGGCCCAGCAGGGTCTGGTTCGCGATCAGGTTCGTGTCGTCTTTCAGGGTGGCCGCGTGGGGGTTTCGGGCGAGCAGCAGAGCGACTGTTTCGAGCCCACAGAGGAGATTCGCCGCCTTTTGCCGAGTCAGAGGCTCGGTCCTTTCCAAATTGCTGCCGCCGCCACTGCCACCGGCGCCACCGCCGCCGCTGCTGTTGGTGGTCTCGTTGCTGCTGCTGGTGGTGCTGGTGCTGTTGCTGCCGGCAGCAGCAGCAGCGGTGGCGTATTTTCGGAGGGAGAGGAGCAGAGCTGGGATGCGGGACAGGCCGAGGGTTTCCCGGAGGAAGATTTGATTTGATACGTTGGATCGGAGGAGGTTGTTGATGAGCTCTATGCAGTCCTGTACCACGATGCCCCCATCCGCCCCTCCCTCGTCTCGAATTATGTTCAACGCTCGCTCAAAGGCGCCCTCGAATACCACTATCTTTTGAATCTCCTGTTGACATGACAGGCCAACGAGGGAGAGGGGAAGAAGGGGAGAGGGGACACGAGAGGGGAAAGAGTGAGAGAAACAGAGAATGGGAGGAGAGGGGAGTGAGGGGTACGGTGGAGCGGAGGAGGTTGTTGATGAGCTCGATGCAGTCTTGCACGACAATGGAGGGGAGGGAGAGGAGAGGGAGTGAGCAGTGAGGGGTGCGGTGGAGCGGTGGAGCAGAGGAGGAGGAGGTTTTTGATGAGCTCAATGCAGTCCTGAACGACAATACGCCCCCCCCCTCATCGCGGATGATGTTCAACGGCCTCTCAAAGGCGCCCTCTCAAAGATAGTGGCCTCTCAAAGGCGCCCTCTCAAAGATAGTGGCCTCTCAAAGGCGCCCTTGAATGCCACTATCTTTTGAATCTCCTGGTGGGGGGAGAGAGGGGGAGACGGGGACAATGTGCATAGTCCACACCACATTCAACGCGCCTCTGGCTGTATCCGAGTCACTATGCACACACACATGGTAGGCCAGTGCGCGCAGTGCACAGTGCACAGTGCACGGTGCAAGGTCCACATTCAACGTACCTCAGCGGAGCGTGTGAGGTTGATCATGAGCACGAGAGCCTCGTTGTGTGCCTCTCACGAATCACCACTGACTAGTACACACACACACAGAAGGTGCACATCTTGCACAGTGCACACTGCAGAGTGCACATTGAACGTACCTCAGCGGAGCGTGTGAGGTTGATCATGAGAACGAGCGCCTCGTTGCGAATCACCTGATCACGCCATGCCATGCCATGCCATGCAATCAGCCATGCCATGCCATGCCATGTATCATGTGCCACCAGACAAACCCGCCATGCCATGCCATGCAATACAAGCAGCATGCCGCAATCAGGTGTCACACGTGACCAGAACCGTCACATGCAAAAGACATTAGAAAATTCAAAACGGCCAGTGGTTCCTGTGAATTAGGAAAAAATTCCATGTCAGTGGTGTCTTTTTCTAAAGAAAGGCGGTGGGTAAGGGTGGGGTGGAAGAAGGAGGCATTTTGAAGAAGAGCGCAAGCAACGATGCTGGTGAAAAGGAAAGAATAGGGTTGAGTAAGGGCTGGGGGTGGAAGGAGGAGTGGGAAGGGAGAGGTGGAAGGGGAAGGGGGCAGGGGTGGGGGGCGCGGGCGGAACAGTGAGATTGAAAACGAACATACAGAAGCAGAGAGCGGCAATCTCACAGAAACAGAAAGTGGCAATCTCACAGAAACAGAGTGGCACTTCTGACTGCCTGTCCCCACCCCTCTCTTGCTCCTATCCATGAGCCGCCCCATGCCCAAAGCCCAAAGCCCGAAGGCCCCACACCCCACGAGACTCCACAAAATCATGCCATCCATCGCCTCTCTTCCATCTCATCGCCTCACTCACCTCCCTCTCATTGAGCGCCATCATATCCATGAGCCACCCCACACCCCACACCCCACACCTCACGCCCCACGCCCCAAGCCCCAAGCCCCACTCCCGAAAACCCAAGCCCCACGCCCCACCAAACGTACACCCGCCCAGCCTCAAGTCCATCGCCTCACCTCCCTCTCATTGAGTGCCATCATATCCATGAGCCGCCCCACGCCCTGTGGGATCACCAATATGGCCTCCTGAAGTCTGCATGCATGCACGCACCCATGCACCCATGCCATCATACATGCCGTGCCACCACACATGCCATGCCACCACACATGCCGTGCCACCACACATGCCATGCCACCACACATGCCGTGCCACCACACATGCCATGCCACCACACATGCCGTGCCACCACACATGCCATGCCACCACACATGCCATGCCACCACACATGCCATGCCACCACACATGCCATGCCACCACACATGCCATGCCACCACACATGCCATGCCACCACACATGCCATGCCACCACACATGCCATGCCACCACACATGCCATGCCACCACACATGCCATGCCACCACACATGCCATGCCACCACACATGCCATGCCACCACACATGCCATGCCACCACACATGCCATGCCACCACACATGCCATGCCACCACACATGCCATGCCACCACACATGCCATGCCACCACACATGCCATGCCACCACACATGCCATGCCACCACACATGCCATGCCACCACACATGCCATGCCACCACACATGCCATGCCACCACACATGCCATGCCACCACACATGCCATGCCACCACACATGCCATGCCACCACACATGCCATGCCACCACACATGCCATGCCACCACACATGCCATGCCACCACACATGCCATGCCACCACACATGCCATGCCACCACACATGCCATGCCACCACACATGCCATGCCACCACACATGCCATGCCACCACACATGCCATGCCACCACACATGCCATGCCACCACACATGCCATGCCACCACACATGCCATGCCACCACACATGCCATGCCACCACACATGCCATGCCACCACACATGCCATGCCACCACACATGCCATGCCACCACACATGCCATGCCACCACACATGCCATGCCACCACACATGCCATGCCACCACACATGCCATGCCACCACACATGCCATGCCACCACACATGCCATGCCACCACACATGCCATGCCACCACACATGCCATGCCACCACACATGCCATGCCACCACACATGCCATGCCACCACACATGCCATGCCACCACACATGCCATGCCACCACACATGCCATGCCACCACACATGCCATGCCACCACACATGCCATGCCACCACACATGCCATGCCACCACACATGCCATGCCACCACACATGCCATGCCACCACACATGCCATGCCACCACACATGCCATGCCACCACACATGCCATGCCACCACACATGCCATGCCACCACACATGCCATGCCACCACACATGCCATGCCACCACACATGCCATGCCACCACACATGCCATGCCACCACACATGCCATGCCACCACACATGCCATGCCACCACACATGCCATGCCACCACACATGCCATGCCACCACACATGCCATGCCACCACACATGCCATGCCACCACACATGCCATGCCACCACACATGCCATGCCACCACACATGCCATGCCACCACACATGCCATGCCACCACACATGCCATGCCACCACACATGCCATGCCACCACACATGCCATGCCACCACACATGCCATGCCACCACACATGCCATGCCACCACACATGCCATGCCACCACACATGCCATGCCACCACACATGCCATGCCACCACACATGCCATGCCACCACACATGCCATGCCACCACACATGCCATGCCACCACACATGCCATGCCACCACACATGCCATGCCACCACACATGCCATGCCACCACACATGCCATGCCACCACACATGCCATGCCACCACACATGCCATGCCACCACACATGCCATGCCACCACACATGCCATGCCACCACACATGCCATGCCACCACACATGCCATGCCACCACACATGCCATGCCACCACACATGTCGTCGTGCCATTACGTATGCCATGTCTCCACTCCAACACTCCACATGCCATGCCACCACACATGCATGCAATGCCCCGGGAAGGGGAAGGTCAGAAGATCACAACAACCCCATGCAAGCACGAGCAAGTGAGCGTTTCAACCAGAAATGTTGGACGAGGAACGAAGTTTGCAGGGTCTGTCTTTAGCACTTGAGGTTGCAAGTACGAGCAAGGTACAAACTACATACAGGAATGCACCACTGGAATAGAGACTTTGTGCTCCCTCACACATACGATGAGACGACTGTTGAAATCCTCAAGACTCCGCCTCTCTCACCTGTGAGGGCAGTTGGAGAGGAGGATGGTGAGCAGCTGTACCGTGTGGTAGCGAATATAGAAATCCTCCTCCTCCTGAAGGGCGGGGAGGGCGTGGGGGAGATAGATGGGGTGAAGGGAGGATGGGGGGTGAGGGAAGCAGGGGCGGAGAGGAGGATGGTGAGCAGCTGTACAGTGTGGTAATAAATGTAGAAAATCCTCTTCAACTTGTTGAAAATATTTGTGGTGTGGTTTATAAGGAGAGAGTGGTATGGGAGGAGAGATATGATGGACCGACCGGATGAGGAACCTGGCCAGTCACCGGCAGCCTACCCCCACTCAGCGACTCAACAATAGAGCCAGCAGCAGTGCGATGATGTGCGGCTCGCGAGCAAAGAGCTCTGAATTGATCATCCCTGGCGCCACCCGCTGCTGCTGCCCTGCCCTGCCCTGCCATCCCCTCCCCCCCTCTGCTGCCCTGCTAGGCCCTCCCCCCCGAGCTTCCCACCCTGCCCCTCCCCCCATGCTGCCCTACCCTGCCCGCCCCCCTCCCCCCGTGCTACACTGCCCGCCCTCCCTTGCTCGCTCGCCCTCCTCTCCCCCTCGCAACTCACCAGCAGCGCCAGCAGCAGCGCGATGCTGTGCAGTTCGCGAGCAAAGAGCTCCGAGTTGATCACCCCTGGCGCCACCCGCTGCGGATTCCCTGCCATGCCCCCTGCTCCTTGTGCTGCCCTGCCCGCTCCCACCCGTGTTGCCCTGCCAGCCCACCCATCCCCACTCAGCGACTCACCAGCAATGCGAGCAGCAGCGCAATGCTGTGCGGCTCGCGAGCAAAGAGCTCCGAATTGATCACGCCTGGCGCCACCCGCTGCAGATTCCCTGCCACGCCAGGCCCCCACCCTGCTGCCCTGCCCACCTCCCCCCCTGTTGTCCTGCTAAGCCCCGCACATCCACTCACCAGCAGCGCCAGCAGCAGCGCAATGCTGTGCGGCTCACGCGCAAAGAGCTCCGAATTGATCACGCCTGGCGCCACCCGCTGCTGCTGCTGCTGCTGGCCCCACTCCCTCTGCTCCGCCACGCCCCCTCCCCCTCCTGCTGCCAACCCTGCCACCAGCACCTCTAGCGCTCCCCGGATCTGAAAAAAAGAAGAGAAAAAAGGTGCAATTAATAGCAAAATTGGGGGAAACAAAAATGTCAAAATCAGAACGAAGGTGATCGAGGGAAAGGGATAGCGTATAGGGGGGGATGAAAGATGGGGGAAGGGGATGGGGGAAGGGGGAAGAGAAAAGTTGAGAACCATCTGAAGGAGAAAGAGGAATGGGGAGAGCAAGAGGCATACGTTGCTCGTTGTTCTCCTCCTCTGCTCTTTCTTTCTCCTTCTCTCACTTGTTCACAAGCTTCTTTGCTGGCTTTCTCATCACCCAGATGCCCTCCTATCCCCTCACTCCTCTCACCGCTCGCCCGCTCACTCAGGACGCGGTAAAAGTAGACGATCGATCGTCAGTCGCGATCGATGTGCGGATTGGTTACCCTATTTACTACGCTGTAACCATGCTACAGTACGCTTTTTGGCCCAATTTTTTGGACAGTGTGTGAATGCGACTGATCACTGATCGCGGGAGATCTGTCAAATCTCAGTAGCGATCGTTACAACGTTGCGATCGCCACGTTTCGCCAATCGATCTGCCCAATCGATTGCGGGGATCGAAATGTGCAGACGATCCTGCGATATTTGCACTTTTACAGCGTCCTCACCCACTCACCAAGTCCACGTCCTCCCGGTCCTCCCGCAATACGGATAGAAGCACAGGGATACCGTCAATCACATGCACTCACTCACTCCCTCACTCAACCCCACGCTCCCTCACTCCCTCACTCACCCTCACGCTCCCTCACTCCCTCACTCAACCCCACGCTCCCTCACTCCCTCACTCAACCCCACGCTCCCTCACTCCCTCACTCAACCCCACGCTCCCTCACTCCCTCACTCACCAGGTACACGTCTTCTCTGTCCTCTCGCAGAACGGATAGAAGCACAGGGATACCTGCCACGTCACACGCACGCAAGCACATGCGCAAGCACACAAACGCGCACACACATAGATTCACGGACAAGCACACGCACATGCAGGCACACGCAGGCACACGCAGGCACACGCACGTGCAAGCAAGACACGGGAATCAACGATGGGTCGCTCGTTACAGATGAAAACTGTTCGCTCGTCACTGCACAGCAGAAAAGGGCACTCCCATTTCCATGTGAGGCTGTGTGCGATCTGATGGCCTGGGCGACACGGCTGTCAGTGCGACTGGCAGCCTATGCGACGCGATGTCTGTGCGACGTGATGTCTGCGCGACTGGCTGTGCGACAGTCACTCACCCATGGCTCCCAGAGCCTGCTGTGCGACAGGGCTGTCCGTGACGACGTCGCGCAGGTCGGCCATGGCGGACTGGCGATCCTCTGCGAGCACTCCATTGCTGATGCGATCCAGCAGCCGCTCCACTCCGCTGTTAGCGCGTACAAAGTGTAGTGTTGCACGCGTGCAGCGACGAATTAGGGCAAGGACAAAAAAACGTGAAATCTTCGAAAAAGGATGACCTTGAATTGGCAGCGGGGGTCGCCACGCAAGCTTGAAACGTAAGCAGACACAATCCAGGAACAAACTAAGAGTCCAATGCAATCTAATCGCATAGGCGTCAATAATGAAACTCGTTCCGTCGCACGGCATCGCACGACGCGTCGCAGGTCGTCGCTTACCCGTCGTCTTCCTGGTCGTCGCCGCTTCCGAACACGAGCCCTCCCACCCCCTGCGCAACGGCGCCCAGATTCAACCGCCCGAGCTTGAATGCCATGGCCGCTCGATGGATTTAATTACTTCGAGAAACTCTTCTGCTGAGATCACCGAATCTGACACCTAGCTAAGACTAGGACTGCAATAACGCTACATACGAATGATGTTACCCCCTCTTGCTACAGTATCTCAGCTGGAAATTCGGCAACCACAGGCAAAGGCTGAAGCTGCTAAAGCTGAAGCAGAGGCCGGCTGCTCGTCGCGGGATAGATAGACGGACTCTGAAACAACTCAATCAAAACTCGATAGATAGACGGACCGGCGAAGGATATTTCGGCCTATGAGCTTGTTTCTGGAGAATTTTTCTCAAAAATCACGAGATCTCGTGAAAGAACGAGCCACGTGGCTCGGAAGGAGTGGGCAAGAAGTGAACACGTAAGCTTTCGCAAGGAAACGCGTAAGCGACTGCGAACGGATAGATATTCCTCTCTCCACAACGACTACCATCCAAAAGAGCAGCGAAATATGGCGGTAGCACCCGCACAAGTCGCTGCAGAAAGCTGGTGAGGTGAATTATGACGGATTATGCGCGAGAATAAGTGGCGAATGACTCAACTCCGAGAATCCCCGCAATTCGCGGAGCAGCTAGGCGGCAAAGGTGGTATTGGGATTGGTGTGAAGTGGAGGAACGCGTTTGATGGTGTAAGCCTTACAACGTTGACCCATCATTTGGTGTAGCTATGTCATTTAGTATATTTCTATACCTACTTACAAAAGGTTATGTTCATGTATGCTATCTGTTAGGGTGATACACACAGGTCATAGTATGCTCAATAAGCTGCAACAATATAAATACAAAATAAGAACTCAGGAACACGCATCATTACGCTATGGAAGCACCAATGTTCGTATTTGGAATGGCAGGCAGGCAGGCTGGCATCCTTCCCACTGTGCCAGCATGCATGCTGATAGCCTGACTGACATCCATTTGTTTTGAGCTGGCTTGTCCTTCCATTGTACCGTATTGGCAATTTGGCAGGTCCTGCACTCACACAAGCAGAGCCACACTCTATCTCTCTCAACCAACATTCCTGTTCTTCTGTTTCCCTCTCTCTCCACCCTTTCTCTCCCTCACACCCTTTCTACCCTCGCCTCGCCTCCCCGCCGCCCCTCTTCCATCATGAAAGCACCAGTTAAAGAGCTTAAAGCAATAAGATTATTGACTGAATGCCTAGGTTGTGCACTTTGCCAGCAAAACGAAAATGTTTGCCATTCTGAAAAACCGGTAAGCCCCTTCCAAGCCCTCTCAACACTACGACATTACCCCTCAAACGGCTCAAAATACTTCCTATCCAACAAAAAAGCGCCATGGCCGAACCGAATCGCCCATGTGTCCTTCGGCCGGCGGTCCATAATCCTCCCTGCGTCCCCCACTCTGATGATCCCGTCGTTTCGCCGAAGCATCGGCATAGGTTCGGCAGACTTCACGAACGGAGGCTCGGCTACAATAACTACGGCGGTTCCGCTCTGAAGCACTATACTGCTGCTGCTACCGCCGCTTTCCCCGACGTCGGATCCGCTAGAGGATGCTCCGTCAGCAGCTGCCAGAGGTAAGACACGTGTGCGCACGTGGCTTCTGCAGCATTGTGATTGGCTGGCGATGCGAATCAGGCTGAGCGGCGATGCACAAGCTTGATAATGACTGGATGCTGACGAAATCGACGGTGACGATTGTCTTAGCGATGCGAACCGTGACGATTTTGGGAGCTGGCAAGCTGCAGCAACTGGAAGAGGAAGAGAAGCCGCCATGGAGTTAGCAACTCTATTGGAGAAGTGTCTGCGCGATGCGCAGGTACAAGGGCTAACAAGCAACCTAAAGTCGGTTCTTTGCAGCACTCGGAAGTGCTGTCCCTCCCACGCAGATTCCCATTACAAGGTCACGACTGACTTCGGTAAAAAGGCGAAATTCGAGTTTCAACCCTAATCATAAACTGTATAGAAGAAGTAGCAGACTAGCAGTGGTAAGATTAAAATTGATTCAACTCCAGACGTGCCCATCTCGCCTACTGGAAACATGAAAAAAGATGCACTGAAATTTGGAACGGCAACAGTAAAAAGCACGCTTTTCTCATGATCAGTAGGTAAAACTGAGTCGAATTCCTGACTTTTCTTTTACACCTTATACAGAAAGAGGACTATATTTACTGTAGTAGTTTGATGGACCTTGGATATTGTATTGTTGCCAAAATGCAGGCCCATGTCCATTGGCCCAGACGTGTCGCATTCGCCTCGTCAGCTCAGACGATTCCAAGCCGACAACCAGCTGCCTTCCTGTATTCCGAAGCTGGAATCCACATCAGCCCAACAGCCGAGCCAGGCCTACAAACAGTTTTCGCCAGTGTGAGATGTGGGCCGACAAGCTCCGCCAGTTTGCTGCCTCCCACCCAACCAGCATAACTCAACAAACTGTACTTTCCAAACCTATATATTAGCTTCGAGTCAGACCGCGCCGCTGATTTGCCTTGCCTATTTTACCTTCCCCAGCCAGGCCGATTTGGTGCGCCTTGAAAAAAAAGGGCCAACCAAATTGCGGTGGAAAGGGGCAGATTGCCATTGCGAGGCGGTGAAATTGCACTTTCAAACAGGACCAGTGGATTGCACTCATGAGGAACAAGAGATTGTGATGTGAGGCGTTGTTCCCAAATTCAAACACGCTTTGCTCCACCCAACTCCACACACAGCTGGTCTAGGCCTGTCAGTTTCTAGCAGCTATACCACAGCCTTCACGGTCTCAGTTTACGCATTCAGCTGCTTTGCGTCTCTCGAAAACTCTTCCAACTTCTTCTGCATACAAACTCGCTTCACGGAGCAGTCTGCAATCACAACAGCAGCCTGCTAGTGACTTCCATCGTCTACCAATCCTCTCCGTTCCATTCAGCCTTACGCTAGGTTGCCTTCTGTTAGAACACAACAAGTGTGGAAAACATTCAACCCGAATAAGTGTACCCACCCGCCCCGCAAGAATACGAGTGCAAGTTAAAGACCGAGACCATCATGGCCGCTCGCGTTCCCCGGACGCACGTCATATGCGTTCTTCTCGTCGCCCTGCTGCTGCAGACTCAATGCTCCCAAGCCCAAGGCGAGGCCTCGCACCACTTCTTGACTCCACTGAATCTTTAAATATCCTGAATCTAAATCTTAAAAATTGACTCCGTTTTCGTTTCTCCGAAGCGCCTCGCAGCAATGCCTGCATTTGAATGGCTCCCTGTGCGCGCCCCTTCAGTTGCTGTGTATGTAGTCGCGAAAAGCAGCAACGTATGCACAACCTACATCGCCTTGATGTCGAATTTGCAATGCCTCTCCGCTTACTTCTTAATCGATACCATGGTGTTTGTTTTCGCATGGTGTATACCATCTTCATTTCCGCCCGCATGGTGTTTCTGCAGAGTTCATAAAAGGCGTCGCACTCGTCAGGGGCGCGTCGGGGAAAGTGGAAACTCAGAGTGCAACAATCGGAGCTGCTGCCACGTCATCACAAGCGAGCGCCTACGATCCCGCAGCGGCGGACGCGGTGGTGGTGGAGGCGGCGGCGGCGGCGAAGCGGACGCGCGCGCCTCTGCGATACAGTCGCAAGGAGGTGATTTCGTCGTTCAACAAGGCGGCACACCTCCTGCGACTCTCCGCGAATAGCTTGACGCAATCGTCACCGTGAGTCGCGTTTTCATTTAGTCGCGTTCACCGTGTGTCTCAGTTTCACGGCGTTTCAAGACTCACTTTACTTCCCGAACCAGCCTTGTGACCAGGCTTCCCTCCTCTTCTACCCCTCTCCCCATCTCCCTCCCCTCCCCCTTCCTCCCCTCTCTCTCCCCACTTCATCCTCCCAGGCGCTTTACTCGCCTGTTCACGGCGATGCAGGCGTTTCGCAACGCAGTGGCGCTGGTGGAGATGGGCAAGCGCAACTACGATCTCGCAGAACCCCAAATGCTCAACGGCATTCTCCCTCTCATACCCCCTCCCCTCTCCCAGGCAATTTACTCGCCTGTTCACGGCGATGCAAGCCTTTCGCAACGCAGTGGCGCTGGTGGAGATGGGCAAGCGCAAGTACGATCTCGCAGAACCTCACATGCTCAACGGCATTCTCCCTTTTATACCCCCTCCCCCACCTCCAGACACTTTACTCGCCTGTTCACAGCGATGCAAGCCTTCCGCAACGCAGTGGCGCTGGTGGAGATGGGCAAGCGCAAGTACAACCTCGCAGAACCCCAGATGCTCAACGGCATTCTCCTCTTGAAGCAGGAGATTCCCAAGATCGAGCCTGCGCAGCTGGCTCGGGAGCTGGGTCGGCAGGTCACCGGGCCTGAGGGCCAGGCTCGGAACTACGCGGTTTCGGCGCTGAGGGTGGCTCAGAATGGCCTGACGTCTTTTGAGGTGCAGAAGAACACGAAGAGGATGCAGGAGCTGAGAGATCAGCAGCTGCAGCGGGTGCAGAAGGAGAAGCAGCAGCAGCAGCAGCAGCAGCAGCAGGGGGTGCAGGGGCAAGGGGGTGGTCAGTAATGGTGGCACGGCAAACCTTTTTACATAACCGTGATACCAATTTCAGGTTACAAAGAGCAGCAGGATGGCGCCCAGGATCAGGTGGTTGGGGGTGGGTGAGGAGCTCAACTAATATTGTACATTTTGTTATAGTGATGAATAATCAGAAACCTGTGGAGAATAAAATTGATTTAGTGATAATGTTTTTTTTCTAACGAGAATGTATACTGATATTGTTTAGACAATACTTGAGCAAGCTTGCTGCTGATGCAATTTCTGACTTCCGCTAGTCCTACTAGCGGATAATTTGATAACGCACACGCAACGTCAGATCACGCTCCCAATTGGTGCTACTGTACGCGGCAGCTTGAGAGCCACGTTGCTCTTTCTCTGGTCTCGAATTGCCACGTGGATCGAAAAAAGCTTGAGGACCCTCGGATTTGTCGACCACTTCCACACGCACCTGCTTGGAGAAAGTGACCCAACCAGGCCAACCTTTTGTTTGATCTGTGAAATTTGCCCTCAAAACGATTCGTTTTTGTCAGCCCGGTAACCGTTGGCTGGGTGTTTTGACCCAGTTGGGTTGAGAACTCTCCCCCGCTGAACGGTTCGCCCGCAGTCAAAAACAGTGCAAATACTTCTCACTCTGCCCAGAATCCGAATCCATCCCTGCCAGTGTACAGTACACTCGTGCCTCCTCCTCAGGTTATGCCTGCAATGTACGACGAACCGACTTAGCGCTGTTATCTATATTCCCAAAGGTGCGTAGCGGTTGGAATCGGTACCAGAGCCTACCATGCTTTAGGGCGGGTCCAGCGCGTACGTTTTCCGTACATTACAGTTCATCCAGTACGGTAATCTGTACTGCGTCACGGTTCAAAACGGTGCAATTTTAAAACCGCTGTGCACCGCCTGATATCTTTTCAAACCACGACGAATGAACTGTATAGTACCTGAAAACGTACGCGCTGGACCCGCCCTTACCGAAGTAAAAACATGACTTGATTCCATCCTTGCCCTGTGTTCCACAGCTCCCTTGGGAACTCCACACCCACATTCCACACTTCCACAAGCCTGTTCCTGTTAGAAGAATGGCTGCAGTGTTGCGTGGATAAAGGTTATAGGTATCTCATTGTCTGCGCTACTGTGGGCTCGACGTCAATTCTCGATCGTTACTTCACTCTCGCGCCTCGCGCTTCTGCAGTTGTGACCTTTCTTAGAAGCGTGTTGCGTGTAACTCGTTTTCGGGAGTTTCGAGTAACCGCGTCGCGATGGCGAGCACGGCAGCTTGCGCTGCGTCTTTAGTTCGCCCTCATGGGCCCAGCACAGCTTTTGATCGCAGCCATTCACTCAGTGCCGACACGTCAGCACCCGCATTAGCTGCGTCAGCCAGCCAAATTCACAGACACACGATATCTGTTAGGAAAGGTGCTTATAGCGGGAGTTCCAATGGCGGGAGTGCGAACTCCAGGCTGACTCCGTTTCGAACTTTCCTAATTCCGTCAACACATTTAGTGTCGGTAGGTTCTAGGAGGCTGTTAGCGACAGGCGAGCCGCTTACCTCTAGGTTCGAACCGCGTAGGTCGCGGACTGTTAGTCCGAGGCGCACACAATTGGCGACCCGAGCAGCCGTGGACACGTCACCTCCTTCCACCGGCCTCCGCGGCAGCAGCAGCAGTAACCGCCGGCCACGTGGCATCCCCACCGGCGGGAATGGCGCCGCGATTTCCAGTAACGGGTCGGCCACGCGATTCGCGCCTGGAGCGCCGTTGAAGCGACCGTTGGAGCGGACGAGAGACAGAGTCTTTGAGGAAGATCCGGCGGAGGAAGCCGCCGCTGCGCGCCGCGCGATCGGCGCGCCGCTGTACGACGCGCAGGGACTCGCGAAATTCTACTCGAAGCGACCGTTAGAGGTAGTCGGTCGAGCGCTGCGCGTCACGACAGCTGTCGGCTCCGTCGTCGCCGTCTACATCCTCCCGTGCCAATCCACTCCACCTCCCCATCCTGATCCCCCATTCCAATCCCTCCCCCATCCCCATCCACCCCTCTTAACAGGTGGTGGGTCGAGCGATGCGCGTAACCACGGCTCTCGGCTCCGTCGCCGTCTCCGTCCTGATCGACCGGCAACGAGGCCAGCTAGACGCCAACATGCCGCGCCGAGCCTCGCAGCTTCGGCGCGCGCTGACGAGCCTGGGCCCCACGTTCGTGAAGCTAGGTCAGGCGCTCTCCACCCGCCCGGACCTGTGCCCGCCGGCTTATTTGGACGAGCTCGCGTTGCTGCAGGACGCGCTGCCGACGTTTCCCGATGCAGAGGCGTTTGCGTGCATAGAAGGGGAGCTGGGTCGACAGATGGAAACCATGTTCGAGTCGATTAGCCCTTCCCCGATTGCTGCTGCTAGTCTCGGGCAGGTGAGCAGTGAGCAACGCTGCTCTCTCAGTGTGTGCATTTGTCCGCACCAGCCGGGGTGCCAGCATCACCCCATGAGGCGTTTGCGTGCATAGAGGGCGAGCTGGGTCGACAGATGGAAACCATGTTCGAGTCTATCAGTCCGTCACCGATTGCTGCTGCCAGTCTCGGGCAGGTGAGCAGTGAGCAACGCTGCTCTCTCAGTGTGTGCATTTGTCCGCACCAGCCGGGGTGCCAGCATCACCCCATGAGGCGTTTGCGTGCATAGAGGGCGAGCTGGGTCGACAGATGGAAACCATGTTCGAGTCTATCAGTCCGTCACCGATTGCTGCTGCCAGTCTCGGGCAGGTGAGCAGTGAGCAACGCTGCTCTCTCAGTGTGTGCATTTGTCCGCACCAGCCGGGGTGCCAGCATCACCCCATGAGGCGTTTGCGTGCATAGAGGGCGAGCTGGGTCGACAGATGGAAACCATGTTTACTACCATCAGCCCGTCACCGATTGCCGCTGCAAGTCTCGGTCAGGTAAGGCTTCACACATCCAACGTCACCCCAAAGAGGCGTTTGCGTGCATTCCTCCTTCTCTCCGTTCCTCTCCCTTTCCCACTCCAGGTGTACAAGGCACGCCTGATCGGATCAGGCACTGAGGTAGCAGTGAAGATGCACGACCAGGCATCACAACACCCATCGGGCTCCCTTCTCCCTCTTCCTCCTCCTGCTCCCTACCTGACTCTCCCCTTCCAGGTCTACAAGGCACGTTTGAGTGGGTCAGGCACAGAAGTGGCAGTGAAGGTGCAGCGACCGGGCATCACAACAGCCATCGGGCTCCTTCCTCTCTCCACTCTATCTGTCCCCCTTCCCCCCTCCCTCTCGTCCATGCAGGTGTACAAGGCGATGCTAAGTGGATCAGGCACAGAAGTGGCAGTGAAAGTGCAGCGACCGGGCATCACAACAGCCATCGGGCTCCCTCCCTCCCTCCTCTCTTTCCTCCATCCGCTGCCGTTCCAGGTGTACAAGGCGCGTCTCATTGGAGGCACTGAGGTGGCAGTGAAGGTGCAGCGACCGGGCATCACAACAGCCATCGGGCTCCCTCCCTCCCTCCTCTCTTTCCTCCATCCGCTGCCGTTCCAGGTGTACAAGGCGCGTCTCATTGGAGGCACTGAGGTGGCAGTGAAGGTGCAGCGACCGGGCATCACAACAGCCATCGGGCTCCCTCCCTCCCTCCTCTCTTTCCTCCATCCGCTGCCGTTCCAGGTGTACAAGGCGCGTCTCATTGGAGGCACTGAGGTGGCAGTGAAGGTGCAGCGACCGGGCATCACAACAGCCATCGGGCTCCCTCCCTGTCCCTCTCTCTCCCCCTTGCAGGTCTACAAGGCGCGTTTGAGCGGGTCGGGGACCGAAGTGGCAGTGAAGGTGCAGCGCCCGGGCATCACAACAGCCATCGGGCTGGACTTTCTGCTCATCAGGGGGCTGTGCTCGCTGGTGGATAAATACGTTGATTCGCTCACGACCAGCGTAAGTGCGGTGCAGCGCGGTTTAGTGCAGTTCAGTGCTGTGTGGTGCGGTTCAGTGCGGTGCGGTGCAATGCATGTATACCACCCACCCTGCCATCACAACAGCCATCGGGCTGGACTTTCTGCTCATCAGGGGGCTGTGCTCGCTGGTCGATAAATATGTCGACTCCCTCACCACTAGTGTGAGTGTGGTGTGGTTCAGTGCGGTGCGGTTCAGTGTGGTGAAGTGCTACCTCACCACTCATCAGGGGGCTGTGCTCTCTAGTGGATAAATACGTCGACTCTCTCACCACCAGTGTAAGTCCAGGGTGTGTGTGAGTAAGCTGTACTGCAGTGCAGAGCAGTGCAATGCGGTTCAGTGCGGTGCTAGCTCACCACTCATCAGGGGGCTGTGCTCTCTAGTGGATAAATACGTCGGCTCCCTCACCACCACACCAGCGTAAGTGCAGTGCAGTGCAGTGCGGTACTGTGCGGTGCAGTGCATGCATGTTCGCTGGTGGATAAATCTGCTCCCTCCTGACATTCACGTCGCTTTTACCCCATCTTCCCTTTCTTCTCCTGTCTCGCCCTGAACCTTGGCAGTCGGTGGCGCTTCTAGACGAGTTTGCAGACCGGGTGTACCAGGAGGTACGTGTGTGGGATGGGATGCTTCCTCCTTGCTCTGTCTTTCCTCCTCCCATACGCTTCGTCCTCCTCCACTAGCCGATCAAATCTGATCCATTATGTGCTTTTAGGGAATAGATTTAATAACCCTGCTACACCACCCCACCTCACCCCAATCCACCCCACACCACCCCACCTCACCTCACCCCACCCCACCCTACCTCACCCCACCCCGCCGCACTCCACCCCACTATCTCAGCTCAACTACGTTCAAGAAGCTCGCAACGCGCGGCGCTTTCGGCAGCTGTATGGCAACCAGAACGGGGTGTATGTGCCGCAGGTGAGGGGTGGAGAGGGGTGGAAAGGGATGGTGGTGAGTTTGCTTTCGGCAGCTGTATGGCAACCAGAACGGGGTGTATGTGCCGCAGGTGAGCGGTGGAGAGCGGTGGGCAGGGGTGGGTGTGGGTGCAACACGTCGTGCCGGGTGCTGTGCATGGAGTGGGTGGTTGGGGTGAAGCTGAGCGGACCAATGGAAGCACACCCCTTGAAGCATGCACATGTATACCATACACTCCCACCATGCTTTCCCCCTCGCAGATCGTGTGGCGCAACACATCGTGCCGGGTGCTTTGCATGGAGTGGGTGGGTGGATTGGGTGAAGCTGAGCAGAGCTGAGCGATGCTGGTTATTTGTGCTTACTTGCTGAGTGCCATGTGCGGCGTACCTGTGTTCCCCCTCTCCCCATCCAGATCGTGTGGCGCAACACATCGTGCCGAGTGCTGTGCATGGAGTGGGTGGATGGGGTCAAGCTGAGGGGAGCGAAGCGGTGGTGGATGTATGTGCTTGCACCTGTATGCCATGTGTGTACCTGTGCCCCTTTCCCCCTCGCAGATTGTGTGGCGCAACACGTCGTGCCGAGTGCTGTGCATGGAGTGGGTGGGTGGGGTGAAGCTGATCTGATCGTTGAGGGGGCACACCCCTTGAAGCATGCACGCTCATGCACATGTATACCCTACACTGCCACCCACCCACATTTCCCCCTTTCAGATTGTGTGGCGCAACACATCATGCCGCGTGCTGTGCATGGAGTGGGTGGATGGAGTGAAGATGAGGGGAGCGATGGGAACACACACACGTACAAGCATGCACACTCATGCACATGCATACCCTACACTGCCACCCACACCCCTCTCCCCGTGCAGATCGTGTGGCGCAGCACATCGTGCCGAGTGCTGTGCGTGGAGTGGGTGGATGGGGTCAAGCTGAGGGGAGGGATATGGTCACACACACACCTAGATGCACGTACGCTCGTGCACAATTATACGCACACACTGCCCACCCTCCCGCCTTTCCCCCTAATCCCACAGATCGTGTGGCGCAACACGTCGTGCCGAGTGCTGTGCATGGAGTGGGTGGATGGGGTCAAGCTGAGCAGAGCGGAGCGATGGGGGCACATGTGTTTTGCTCTAATGCACCTTCTCTTCCACCCCTAAACCCATGCAGATCGTGTGGCGCAACACGTCGTGCCGCGTGCTGTGCATGGAGTGGGTGGATGGGGTGAAGATGAGGGGAGCGATGGGAACAAGCATGCACACTCATGCACATGCATACCCTACACTGCCACCCACACCCCTCTCCCCGTGCAGATCATGTGGCGCAGCACATCGTGCCGAGTGCTGTGCGTGGAGTGGGTGGATGGGGCCAAGCTGAGGGGAGGGATATGGTCACACACACCTAGATGCACGTACGCTCGTGCACAATTATACGCACACACTGCCCACCCTCCCGCCTTCCCCCCTACTCCCACAGATCGTGTGGCGCAACACGTCGTGCCGAGTGCTGTGCATGGAGTGGGTGGATGGGGTGAAGCTGAGGGGAGCGATGGGGGCACATGTCTTTTGCTCCATTGCCACCCACACCCCTCTCCCCTTGCAGATCGTGTGGCGCAACACATCGTGCCGGGTGCTGTGCATGGAGTGGGTGGATGGGGTGAAGCTGAGCGATGCAGCGAGCATGAGGCAGAACAACCTTGATGTCATTGACTTAGTGGATATCGGGATTCAATGCTCCCTCAGGCAACTCTTGGAGTGAGTTGAGTGCGGTTGAGTGCGGTTGAGTGCGATAGCCTTGTCTTTGGGGTGGACGGAGTCAAGCTGAGCGATGCAGCGAGCATGAGGCAGAACAACCTTGATGTCATTGACCTCGTGGATATTGGCATTCAGTGCTCCCTGCGACAGCTGCTAGAGTGAGTTGAGTGCGGTTGAGTCCGGTTGACTTAGGTTGACTGGTGTTGACTTGCTTGACTGTGAGGTGGAGCTGAGAGCATGAGGCAGAACAACCTTGACGTCATTGACCTCGTGGATATTGGGATACAGTGCTCCCTCAGGCAGCTATTGGAGTGAGTTGACTTGGGTTGACTTGCCCGTCTGTGAGCTAGAGCTGAGAGCATGAGGCAGAACAACCTTGATGTCATCGATTTAGTGGACATCGGCATTCAGTGCTCCTTGAGACAGTTATTGGAGTGAGTTGACTCCCTTTGACTCGCGTTGACTTGGGTTGACTGCTGTTGACTTTCCTGTCTGTGAGGTGGAGCTGAGAGCATGAGGCAGAACAACCTTGACGTCATTGACCTTGTTGACATTGGGATTTGGGAGTGAGTGTGTGCTGTTGACTTGGTTTGACTTGGTTGAATTCGGACTGAATTTGAGCTGAGGGGTGTGCTTCTATCGTCATCTGTGCATCAACCATCAAACCTCCCTCCCAACTGTTCCCACCACTCCCAAACCCTCTTCATCCCTCTTCATCCCCCTTCACCGCTCTTCACCACTCTCCACCGCACAGGTTTGGCTACTTCCATGCGGACCCTCATCCCGGCAACCTGCTTGCCATGTCTGATGGCCGCCTGGCCTTCCTTGACTTTGGTGCGTGCTATGGGAATGAGCACTCACTCACTCACTCACTCACTCACATTTGCAGGACATTGACTCACTCGCTCGCTCACTCAAACACCTCACTCACTCCATGTGGGGGCATTCACTCAGTCACTCACTCCTTGGCCCTTTCCTTGGCTCGTTGCCTCTCTGTGCCTTTCTGCACCGCACCACGCCTCTCTGCACCCCTCCACACCTCAAGCATGCTAGTTGATGCTCCCCTTCTTGAGTCTTCTTGCGTCTGGTCCACCTAATAGGCCATGCAATTGCCCAACTGTCCTCCTCCCAACCACACTGCACCGCATCGTACCTCATGTTGCGTCTGTCCAACCGTATTGCACCGCATCGCACCCCCCATGTTGCACCTTGCTACCCCCTCCTAGAGTGAAATTCCTCCTATAGCCCGGTTCGCCATCATAGACTATGTGAATGCCCCACTGACCTTGCCCAACCGCATTCCACCATACTGTACCTCGTACTGCGCCATAACAACCCCTTTGCACCCCTCCGCTCTCCAGGCATGATGAGTGAGACGCCTCCTCGAGCCCGCTTCGCCATCATAGGCCACGTGGTGCATCTGGTGAACCGGGATTATGAAGCCATGGCTCGGGATTATTATGGTAAGCGCTTCAAGTGGAGAGGCTTATAATGAGTATGTGTCCTTCTCGCCATCATAGGCCACGTGGTGCATCTCGTGAACCGGGATTATGAAGCCATGGCACGCGATTACTATGGTAAGAGAGGATATGCTTATAACGTGTACATGTGTTGCAAGGCCTTGTGTCGCCATCATAGGCCACGTGGTGCATCTGGTGAACCGGGACTATGAGGCCATGGCACGCGATTACTACGGTAAGAAGATATGTCTGTAAGGGAGATGCATATAACGGGTCCATGTGTTGCAAGCCCTTGTCTCGCCATCATATGCCATGTGGTGAATCGGGACCATGAGACCTTGGCATGCGATTACTACAGTATGAAGATAGGCTTGTACCGGAGGGGCTTATAGCAAGTATGTGTGCTTTTCGGCATCATAGGGCATGTGACTATCATATAGCCATTTTTCCTTTCTCCCCTCTCCTTCTCTTCCCGCTGCGCCCTGCAAAACCAAACCAGAGCTCGACTTTCTAGACCCCTCAGTGGACGTGGCGCCAATGTGCCTTCCGCTTCTCCCCCTCCCTTCTCCCCTTCCCCTCTGACTGCATGACTCTCCCCGTCCCCGCCACTCCCACCAGAGCTCGACTTTCTAGACCCCTCAGTGGACGTGATGTGGCGCCCATAGTGCCCTTAGCGCTATGACACATGGCCTGGAGGCTCTTCCGCCACTCCCACCAGCGCCCTCCCATCCCACCATTGCCCCCTCCACTTCTCTATTGCTGTCTGCCTGCCTTCCCTCTCCCCTCTCCCCTCTCCCCTCTCTCCTCTCTCCCCCCTCCCCCCTCCAGAGCTCGACTTTCTAGACCCCTCAGTGGACGTGGCGCCCATAGTGCCGGCTTTGAGGGGATTCTTCGATGATGTGCTGCAGGTGGGTGGGGGGAAGGGGTGGGGTGGGAAGTAGGGCGAGGGGTGGGATGGGGTGGGGTGGGGTGTGTTGGGAAGGAGGAGGGGTGGATGGGCGTGGGCCTGAAGTGACCCCTCAGTGGACGTGGCGCCCATAGTGCCGGCTTTGAGGGGATTCTTCGATGATGTGCTGCAGGTGGGTGGAGAGATGGGGATGGGCGGAACAGGTGCGGTGGGGTGGGCAAAGGGATAGGGCGGGTGGGGGAATCGACCCCTCAGTGGACGTGGCGCCCATAGTGCCGGCTTTGAGGGGATTCTTCGATGATGTGCTGCAGGTGGGTTGGTGGGGGGGATGGGGGTGGTGGGTGGTATAGGGGAGGCGAGGGGTGGGTGGGTGCTGCAGGTGGGGTGGGGCCAAGGGTGGGTGATTTGTTCTGCTGGAGGGCCATGGTGTTACTAACCTTGCGTAAATGCCTGCCTCTTTTCCCACCTCTCCCCATCAGGCGACGGTCAGCGAGCTTAACTTCAAGACCATAGTGGATGGAGGGCTGGGGGCAACCAGAGAGTGGCTGGATAGATAGAGAGTGCTGCTGACCCGTGTTTCCCCCACCATTAATGCCTGCCTCCATCTCATCCCCACCTCTCCCCATCAGGCGACTGTCAGCGAGCTCAACTTGAAGACCATAGTGGATGAGTTGGGAGTGGGAGCGACCAGAGGGGCTGGGTGGGTGGATGGATGGATTGTGCCGACCTTTCCTGAGTGCCCGCCTCGTTCCCTCCCCCCTCAACCCCCCACCTCTCCCCATCAGGCGACTGTCAGCGAGCTTAACTTTAAAACCATAGTGGATGGCCTAGGGGCGGTGCTATACCAATACCCTTTCAATGGTGAGTGCTTTGCTTGTGCTGACTGAACTTCCTGTATGCCCTGTTGCTTCTTCTCCCAACCACCTCCCTCCACTCTGCAACCCGCTGTACCACTTCTCATCTCCTTGTATACCTTTCCACCGCACGTTGTCACTTCCCATCCCACCGCACCACTTTCCACCCCACTGTCCCCTGCCCCATCCACTCCCGGCCTACTAAGGCTTGGGTGTGGGTGGGGCATCTCCCATCTACTCCGACCGACCCCATCTACTTGTAGAAAGTATATTTTTTCTACTTTCAGTCCCGGCCCCATCCAGTCCCGGCCTACTGAGACGTCTCAAAAATCTACTTTCTACACATGGTCATCTACTCCGACCGACCCCATCTACTCCGACCGACCCCATCTACTCCGACCGACCCCATCTACTCCGACCGACCCCATCTACTCCGACCGACCCCATCTACTCCGACCGACCTTCACCTCCCCTCCCTAACTTGCTCTCGTACTCTCTTCCTTGTCATTCATATCATCACTCTCCCCGTCCAGTCCCGGCCTATTACGCGCTCATCCTGCGCTCCCTCACGGTGCTTGAGGGCCTGGCTCTCTACTCCCACCTCCACTTGTTCACCCTGACTATCTCTCTTGCATTCTTCCTCTTCATACCCTCCATCCCCATGCCCCCGTCCAGTCCCGGCCTACTACGCGCTCATCCTGCGCTCCCTCACGGTGCTAGAAGGCCTGGCTCCCATCTCAAGACCCCTCCTCCCCACCCTACCTTGCTCTCATGCCTTCTTCCTCTAAATCTCTTGTCTTCCTCATATCCCCCCCTGCCCTCACCCAGTCCCGGCCTACTACGCGCTCATCCTGCGCTCCCTCACGGTGCTAGAAGGCCTGGCTCCCATCTCAAGACCCCTCCTCCCCACCCTACCTTGCTCTCATGCCTTCTTCCTCTAAATCTCTTGTCTTCCTCATATCCCCCCCTGCCCTCACCCAGTCCCGGCCTACTACGCGCTCATCCTGCGCTCCCTCACGGTGCTTGAGGGCCTGGCTCTCTACTCCGACCCCAACTTCAAGGTGCGTCCGTTATAAGCTTACTCGTTAAGACCACAACTCGGATGACTTGTTACACCTCGTGGGCTCGCTCCCTCACAGTGCTTGAGGGCCTGGCTCTCTACTCCGACCCCAATTTCAAGGTCAGTCGTGTGCCTTCTCCCTCTTTACACAGGGGCAGAGAGGCCCCTTCTGTTGCCTCCCTGCATCATTCCCCCCTAATCTCGTGCCGCCGTTTTTCCCCTGCGTACTCGGTGACTTTTGAGTCGACTTAAAAGTCACCTCGTACTCGGCCTATCCAACAGGTGCTCGCAGCAGCATACCCCTACATGGCAAAGCGTCTCCTGACCGACCGATCCCAACCCTTACTTAACGGACGCCCTCATCGAGCCTCTCTTTCCCCCCTCCCCATTCCATTGCTCGTTTACACCCTTGCTTTCCCCTCTCCACCCCACCCGTCACAGGTCCTGGCAGCAGCATACCCCTACATGGCAAAGCGCCTCCTGACCGACCCCAACCCCTACCTGCGGGACGCCCTAACCGAGCTTCTCTTCAAAGACGGGGTTTTCCGCTGGTCGCGCCTGGAGAACCTCCTCACGCAGGGGCAGAGAGACCGCGACTACAAGACAACCGACAGGGGCAGAGAGACCACTGCCATGCGCCTACTTTCCCTCCCCCCTGCTGCTTTTTTCTTGTCTCACCCACCCACCCATTACAGGTGCTCGCAGCAGCATACCCCTACATGGCCAAGCGTCTCCTCACGGACCCAAACCCTTATTTGAGAGATGCTCTTATTGAACTTCTCTTCAAAGACGGGGTTTTCCGCTGGTCGCGCCTCGAGAACCTCCTCACGCAGGGGCAGCGCGACCGCGACTACAAGACAACCGACGCCCTCCAGCCGCTCATGGCCCTCATCCTAGGGCCCGAGGGAAAACCGCTGAGAGCACTGGTGGTTGCTGAAGGGGTGAGGGTCGCAGAGGCGCTGCTGGTGGCTGGGGCTGTGGATGGGGCGATGGAAGTGTTACCAGATGCGGTTACCACCGCGCTGCTGCCCCGACCGCTGGTGCCGCTGAGAGAAGCGTTAGAGGCGGCGAGAGGGGGGGGTGGGGGTGCGGGTGGGAGCGGGGGTGCGGGAGGGGGTGCGGGGGTGGGGAGGGGAGCGGGGAGGGGGGATGCGAGAGGGAGGAGTATGGAGGAGATGGTGGAGTTGAGGGCGCAGGTGCTGCGGTGCTGGGCTTTGCTGAGGACTTCGGATGGGTTTGACCCGGCAAGCCTGCTTCCGCTTGTGGATGTGAGTGCTGTTGTGGTGCTGTGGTGGTTTGTTGATATGTCTGTGAGTATGAGGGAGTATGAGGGAGTATGAGGGAGTATGAGGGAGTATGGAGGAGATGGTGGAGCTGCGACCTCAGGTGCTGCGGTGCTGGGCTCTGCTGAGGACTTCGGATGGGTTCGACCCGGCGAGTCTGCTGCCACTGGTTGATATGAGTGCTGTGGTGGTGCTGTGGTGGATTGTTGATGTGGTGATGAAAGTCTGAGGGAGTATGAGGGAGGCAGAGTTGGACTTTAAGCTCCCAGACATCCCAAACCCATTCCAACCGCTTGCTACTCTTCTGGTACCTTCCTGCTATCCCGCACGGGCTGAAACAGGAGGAGATGCGGGAGATGGGGTCAGAGTTAGCTACAGGCTTGCTGCAGAGACTGGCTGAGTTTAAAATTGACTCAAAACCCATTTCAACCGCTTGATATATCCCTCTGCCACCCTTTAGGTGTTGCAACAGGAGGAGGCGAGGGAGATGGGGTCAGACTTTGCTACAGGCTCGCTGCAGGGACTGGACACTCATGTTTTTCTTTCTGCTTTTGACCCAAAACCCATCCCAACCGCTTGCTACCCCGCAGGTGCTGCAACAGGAGGAGGTGAGGGAGATGGGATCGGATTTTGCTACAGGCCTGCTGCAGAGACTGGCAGCACGCTCGCTACAGCTGCTGCTACAACCTCCGCCTTCCTCCCAGACCCCTGCACCTGCACCAGCTCTGTAGGGCTCTTGCAGCCAGCGCCCAAGGCTTTCTAGTGTGCTTGCTACAGCTGTCTCTTGCTACAGCTGCTGCTGCTACAACCCCCCCCTTCCTCCCAGACCCCTGCACCTGCAGCTGCTCTGTAGGCCGTTTGAGTGTGCTTGCTACAGCTGCCGCTTGCCACATCTGCCTCGTGCCACAGCTGCTGCTTGCTATTCCACTTAACTGCTCTGGCTCGGCAGGTTCTGTTGCCTGTAGAGGTGTTATGGCATAATTGATTGGAGCATGTTTAATGGATTTGAGCTCCTTAGAACTGTGTTCTATACCAGAAACACCCTGCTAGCGCTTTGATAAATCTAAAAAAGTCTTATGTAACATGTTCCTTGTGCCTCCAACTAATGCCCAATCATAGAGATTGTTTCAGCTGCACAAGGTTGAATTCCTTCACGGTATTCCTATCCTCGATTTAGACTGCCTTGCCTGAATGAGCCAAGTTTGTTGAACTACATTGCAGGTCTGTATTAATTCCCGCATCTTTTGTAGTGAAAAGAAGTAAGAATGAAATAATATTATCTTGGAAGTATCACTACAAAAAGGGTGTATCTACAACCTGACTAGTATAAGTCCATGCAAGCACGCGGCTCGTTATTAGCTGACGCAGCAGCACACCGTGACTGCCGCGGAGCTCACTCACGCGCTGCTCGATCTGTACAGGACTGGTAGGCACAAGTTTACCCGGGAAAATCGCTGCTGCAGGCACATCAACCCCTTCATAAAAAGCTCCTGCTTGCTCGCTGCCTTCGCGTGGTATTCCTGGTCGCGATATTCCACTGCAGCAGGCGCGGCTCTTCTGAGGAAGGCTGAACCGCCATGCGCAATCACCACGCTTCGACGGAATCGTTCGGGTACTGCTTCCTCGCCGTCCTCAGCTTCCTCCTCCACCTCATCTCGCTGCATACATTCATCCTCACCTTCCTCTTCCTCCTCGTACTCCTCTCCCTCCATCTCGGCCTCATCATTCAGTGTAGTCAAATACTCCGCTTTTTCCTCTTCCTCCATCGACATATCCTCCTCTCCCATTTCCTCCACCTCCTCCTCTTCCTCCTCTTCCCACTCCCCATCCATCTCTTCCTCTTCCTCCTCCTCCTCTTCCACCGAAGCTGCCACTTGCAGCAGCTGCAGGTTCGGCATCCGAAGCAGCACCGCGTGCAGCAGCAGCAGAGCCTCGGGCCGCTGGTCCTGAACCTTCACCTTAAGCTCCTCCAGCTGCGGCCACCGCGCTGACGAGGCAGCGGCGGCGGATTGAAGCGCTCCCGAAGCTACAGCCCAGGACACGACCAGCTGCCACGGCAGCGCGCCGAAGCTGAGCGCCTTCAGGTTCGGACACATAGCTGCGAGCCAGGTCAGGGAGAAGATGCTCGAGGTAAGGGCACCCAAACCGGCCGAGAAGAAGTCGAGTGATAGGGAGGTGAGTTCTGAGCCGTTGGATTGAATGAGCGTCTGCATCGCCGTCCAGCAGAAAGACCCCGCTTTCAGATTCAGCGACGAGATTTTAGCCGACTCGGGAGCGGTGATCTCCAGCAGACTCGCGCTCGCGACTGCCACGTGGCGCAGATCCGGAGCGCCGTGGATTTGGACGGAGCGAATGAACATATCGCGGACGGAGAGCGAGCGGAGGGAGCGCGCGTTCGAAAGCGTGCACGACTCGGCGCGCATGTACGCCAGCTCGACATGCTCCAGTGTAGCGGGCAGGCGAAGATTTATCCGCGGGCTGCCCGTGGCCATGAAAATTGAGAGGCGGCGGAGGTTAGGCGCCGCGTCGAGGATGGCCTGGAGGCTCTCATTGGACGCGTGAATCCAGGAAAGCGACAGGTGCTCCAAGTGTCGCATGGGCGGCAGGCGAGCAGTGGGCGACGAGAGGAGCGACGACGACAGCGAGAGCGAACCCAGAGAGAGCGATCGCAACGATGTGCAGTATTTTGCCACGTGGCGCAGATGCAAGCTCAGATCCTCGTTCTCCCAAACGTTGACTGTTGTTGCGGCGTCCCCTGCGGCGTGAGATGCGGCGGCGCCCTGGAGAGCTCGGGAGAGGACGAGGGACTTGAGATGCGACCCGACGTGGCGCATCCACGCTTCGAAGATGAATTCGCGCGGGTGCTGCTGCTGGCGAGCGTCGCAGCCGCATCCGCAGCAGCAGTGGTGAGCGCATTTCCCGCCGCAAGACGTGTCGCCGCAGGACGGGCACACGGATTGGGGCGCAGCGAAGGCCGATGCCACGTGGAGGTGCTCCAGCTCCTGCGATTTCAGAACCATCCGCGATACAAGCTCTTCGAGCTGGATGGCTGGCGAGTGGCGGAACGATGACGACGAATGGGAACGCGACACGTCCGCAGGGCCGAAGCAGAGGGCAGGGAGGAAACGGGAGAGGCTGTGGAACCGGCGACATGTTAACGAGGTGGCTGCCACGTCGGACGCGCCGCTGCCGGTCCGGGAGAGGATATCGATAACAAGTTCGTCTGGAAGCGTCGAGAAGGGGTCCTGTGAACAGATGTGTGAATTATCCGAAGCGTCGGGCATTCTAGGCGATATAGCGTCCGCGTTAACACGACTAACTTCGGCCGGTTGGCACGAGAAAGCGAAGCTAGGAGACGCCATGAGGACAATTGTCTAACTTGATCTTTGGAATAGGCTAGGTAAGTCTATAGGCTTGACAGGTAATGCGTGAGAGAGATATGATCAGGCACTGGTTGGAATGAAGGAGAGAGACTGGCTCCTTTTTTACTTGCGGAATAACCTTTGGAACGTTGAAGTGATAGCGAGTGGGAGACAAGCGACAAGGGCCACAAGCTGAAGCTGAACTGAGGGAAAACTGGATAACCGAAAGTCGTAAGGACGGTGAATTGTGATCGAATGGAAGAGATGAAATACTGCCGATAGAGACTTGAGAGGGACGGAAGTTATTTATCTACCCACAACTCAAGCGTGCTGGTTTGGATGGTTGGTAGGGGTCGAGAGGATGAGGTGAGGAGGGAGTTACTGTAGCAAGGGTTATGAAGGCAGATCGGAGGGAGAGGGAGGGCCACACAACCGCAACTCGCAACGGCGGCACGTGCTGCCGCGCTGGCGTTCCAGCTGCTGCGCTGGCGGCCTTGTGGGGCTTCGAGAAGACATGGCGTATGTTTGCAGCTGGCGGGAAAAATGTGGGTGGCGTGGGGAATTTGAATGCGAGGCATCCACAATGACAGGGGGCTTTAGGGAGAGTAGTTGGCGGTGCGGCGCGGTGAGTGATGCCCAGCATACCGAACTGGCGCCAAAATAACATCGATCTGGCTGATACGAAAAAATCGAGATCGGGGCATAGAGCACGGGTGGGCCATGTGCTTCCCTGCATCATTGATCACCGTGCTGAAGTGCGACGCTGATGCACTTGGCGTGAAGTCAACAGGTACCTATGGGAAATGGAGGTTAGAACCAGGGTTTTGAGTACGGTTTGTAACGGTCACCTCAAGCAAATTGCACAATTAGGGCTTGTGGGTGCATCGAGATTAGGGAATCGTGAAAGTGAAAGCTGGTTTGATGGCGTCGTGTGATTGTATTCTCCGCCATGCTGCCACTGTTTGTTTGAGCGTGATGGAACCAGCATTGTCAATTACGCACGCCAAGAGGTCATCACGTGACATGTGACGCCGTGCTTGCCAGTTGGCCATCCAGACTGCCAACCAGCCGCCACAAGCGGCGACGAAATGCTGCAATCGTCAACCAACTGGAAATAGACCCAAAATTGGTGGTGTGAGTTTCGTGAATCGGTGACTCGCTGAGGTCAACGAAGCGGCAACGGGTAACTTTAACTTCGCTTGCTTCTTCGTTTACCGACGTGTGCTCTATGGCCTGGTTGATTGCGACCACGCTGGGAAGGATACCACATGGATGTACACTCAATGAATCACGACGGGCACCGGAAAGCTGGGCTGTAAGTGCTATTTACACAGAAATGTCGGGCACTGGTCAGAACACCGCAATTGAGGCATGCTGAAACAATATATGTAGAGACAATTGCTAAGTGATGTCAACCTTAGGAAATAACAAATTTAATTGCACAATCAACCCGTTGCTTGACGAGGTACGTACACGGGGTGAGACAGCTGGGTACCAATTTTGTGCCATCAGATTTTTAGGCTGGCAAGCTTCTGGCGACTTCGCTGGCGACTTCGCGGACAACCCACAATTTGGGCGTTTGACATGATTTCGTTCCCCTAAAGCGACCAAACACCTCCAGCACTTGGCTTCTACAATAAGCACGAAGCTTCCAGCTAAAGCGGTCGATGGGATGATCTGGATGATGCCCACCGCGACCCTTGTCGTGCTGGAAATTGGTGCAGCCGCAAATTCAGAACAATGTAGTGTACACAAATGCGGTGTATTCTATTGTTTTCCAATAGCCACTTTTAGCTCCGCCATGTTTCTACTCTCGGCAGAATTTGAGAGACAAGCGTTCAAACCATCCATGACCTGAAACTCTTCTTCATTCTCTGTGAACGGCAGGCAACTTGTGGGCGTTGGCTTGGCTGGGCAGGTGCAGGACTCTTCGGCACCAAAACATTCATCGCCTCGTGAACCACAACGTTCCGTCTTGCTCCGTAAAACTGTGGATGAAACCGAAGGAGCGGGTTGGCTTACCCAACCGAATTGCATCTTCCTGTGTACACTTTTTGCATGAGTAAACCGATCCGAACGTAGAATGTACCTGGCGGAATGTGGAGTCTCAAGTGTATCTACCATTTATTAAACTGCAGCGATCGCACGTGACGACGCGTCTCTTCGGCAAAACCAGAATTCGTGGTGAAATCACGCGCCGCAATTTCTCCAATGCTGCATCGAAAAGAACAGACCAACGTGGACCAGACAGGACGAGCAGCATTTTCAAGCGTCGTTGCAACCGCCACAAACCGCCGTGATTTGGCCGTACACTGGTGACCCACAGTGAAGTTCGTGCATTTCTACATTGGCGACTACAGGCAGGCAGCCACGCCCACGCCCCCTACATCGCCCCTGATTT